AAGACCACTGATAATCTCCCTAGATCTGGGGCTCCACACAAGATCTCACCCCATGGGGTCAAAATGATCACAAGAACGGTGAGCAAAAATCCCAGAACCACACGGGGGGACCTAGTGAATGACCTGCAGAGAGCTGGGACCAAAGTAACAAAGCCTACCATCAGTAACACACTACGCCGCCAGGGACTCAAATCCTGCAGTCCCAGACGTGTCCCCCTGCTTAAGCCAGTACACGTCCAGGCCCGTCTGAAGTTTGCTAGAGTGCATTTGGATGATCCAGAAGAGGATTGGGAGAATGTCATATGGTCAGATGAAACCAAAATAGAACTTTTTGGTAAAAACTCAACTCGTCGTGTTTGGAAGACAAAGAATGCTGAGTTGCATCCAAAGAACACCATACCTACTGTGAAGCATGGGGGTGGAAACATCATGCTTTGGGGCTGTTTTTCTGCAAAGGGACCAGGACGACTGATCCGTGTAAAGGAAAGAATGAATGGGGCCATGTATCGTGAGATTTTGAGTGAAAACCTCCTTCCATCAGCAAGGGCATTGAAGATGAAACGTGGCTGGGTCTTTCAGCATGACAATGATCCCAAACACACCGCCCGGGCAACGAAGGAGTGGCTTCGTAAGAAGCATTTCAAGGGTGGCCTAGCCAGTCTCCAGATCTCAACCCCATAGAAAATCTTTGGAGGGAGTTGAAAGTCCGTGTTGCCCAGCGACAGCCCCAAAACATCACTGCTCTAGAGGAGATCTGCAATGAGGAATGGGCCAAAATACCAGCAACAGTGTGTGAAAACCTTGTGAAGACTTACAGAAAACGTTTGACCTGTGTCATTGCCAACAAAGGGTATATAACAAATGATTGAGAAACTTTTGTTATTGACCAAATACTTATTTTCCACCATAATTTGCAAATAAATTCATTGGTCCTCTGTAGCTCAGCTGGTAGAGCACGGCGCTTGTAACGCCAAGGTAGTGGGTTCGATCCCATACACAAAAATGTATGCACGCACGACTGTAAGTCGCTTTGGATAAAAGCGTCTGCTAAATGGCATATTATTATTATTAAAAATCCTACAATTTCTGGATTTTTTTTCCTCATTTTGTCTGTCATAGTTGACGTGTACCTATGATGAAAATTACAGGCCTCTCTCATCTTTTTAAGTGGGAGAACTTGCACAATTGGTGGCTGACTAAATACTTTTTTCCCCCACTGTATGTTCTTTAATGCAGGGCCGACAGACAAGTTCCTTACTTTTCCCCCTTCCACTTTCCTCTTCCATTTTTGCGGTAATGCTACAATAAGTTGGTTGTAATTTTGGGTAGTGCAGACATTTCCATATGTTTTTGTTAGCTGCATGTGCGACACAATTCATTTTTTAAACATTTAAAAAAAAAAAAATGTTTTTTTAATCAATTAGTATATTTGAGTTTAACCACAATATTTGTTGTATTATTTGTTCTGTCGTTTCTGGTGGATGAAATTGAAATTGCAACCATCTTTCTATGACTTGTTTTAGAAATAGTGATATTTGGGAGATGATTTCCTTTTCAAATAACTGAAAGTGAGAGGTTGTAATCTGGATAAAGGGGAAAAGACCATTCTTGAACATAGGGTGAGTCATTCTTACTAATTTGCTAGAGAACCAGTTCGGATTTAAGGATAACTTTTGTATGACAGAAGTCTTTAGTGAGAGGTATAATGCTTTAACATTTAATAATTTCTGCCCTCCGAATTCATATTCATTATATAAATAGGCCCGTTTAATTTTGTCTGGCTTGCCGTTCCAAATAAAATGGAATATTTTTTTCTCATATTTTACATTTACATTTTAGTCATTTAGCATATAATTTAAAAAACTGTTCGCTAGGTGTAGGCAAGACCATGAGCAAATAGGTAAACTGGGAAATTACTAAAGAGTTAATCAGGGTGATTTTTCCACAAATAGACAGGTATTTACATGGTAGAAAGATCTTCTCTATTTTTGCTAACTTTCTATTAAAATGTATTGGAGTGAGATCATTTCTTTCTTTCGGGATATGTATACCGAGTATATCCACATCACCATATGACCATTTTATTGGTAAACTACACGGTAATGTAAAAGTTTTAATTTTTTAGTGATCCAATACATAATATAGTACACTTGTCATCATTTGGTTGTAATCCAGAGAGGTTAGAAAATGTATATAGATCCTCTATGAGGCTGTGGAGGGATCCAAGTTGTGGATTTAAGAGAAAACATGAATCATCAGCGTACAATGACACCTTTGTTTTTAAGCCCTGGATTTCTAATCCCTTGATATTATTGTTGGATTTGATTTTAATAGCTAACATTTCGATGGCCATAATAAATAGATATGCCGATAGTAGACAACCTTGTTTTACTCCTCTTGACAGTTTAAAACTTTCGGAGAAATAGCCATTATTTACTATTTTACACCTAGTGTTACTATACATGATTTTAACCATTTTATAAGAGATTCTCCAAAATTGAAATGTTCCAGGCATTTATATATAAACTCCAGTCATACTTTATCAAAAGCCTTTTCAAAGTCAGCTATGAATAGCAGGCCTGGTTTCCCAGATTTTTCATAGTGTTCTATTGTTTCCAGTACTTGCCTTATATTATCTCCAATGTATCGTCCATGTAAAAAACCTGTCTGATTAAGATGAATAATGTCCGACAATACCTTTTCTACAACACTGAAGTGTAAGTGGCCTCCAATTTCTTTAATGGACTGGATCTTTATATTTCCCACTTGTATCCTGTTTCAGTAATAATTAAATCAGACCTTCTTGTTGAGTGTCTGATAATCTACCATTTACATTGGAGTGGTTAAAACATGCTAATAACGGTCCTCTGAGTATATCAAAAAAGGTTTGGTATACCTCAACTGGTATGCCATCCAGCCCTGGAGTTTTCCCGGACTTAAAGGCTTGAATTGCATCAAGAATTTCCTGTAATTTCACCTTCACATTAGTATTTCTGTACGGCTGTTAATTTTACATTATCAATAGAAAGAAAATCCATACAATTAGCTTCGGTTAGAGGAGATGGAGGAAACTGAAACGAAAACATATGCTTAAGGTACAGTGCCTTGCAAAATAATTCATCCCCCTTGGCATTTTTCCTATTTTGTTGCATTACAACCTGTAATTTAAATGGATTTTTATTTGGATTCCATGTAATGGACATACACAAAATAGTCCAAATTAGTGAAGTGAAATGAAAAAAATAACTGGTTTTAATACATTCTAAAAAATAAATAACGGAAAAGTGGTGCGTCCATATGTATTCACCCCCTTTGCTATGAAGCCCCTAAATAAGATCTGGTGCAACCAATTACCTTCAAAAGTCACATAATTAGTTAAATAAAGTCCACCTGTGTGCAATCTAAGTGTCACATGATCTGTCACATGATCTCAGTATATATACACCTGTTCTGAAAGGCCCCAGAGTCTGCAACACCACTAAGCAAGGGGTACCACCAAGCAAGCGGCACCATGAAGCCAAGGAGCTCTCCAAACAGGTCAGGGACAAAGTTGTGGAGAAGTACAGACTTTCCTAAACTTTGAACATCCCACGGAGCACCATTAAAACCCATCCAACTTGAAGGAGCTGGAGCAGTTTTGCCTTGAAGAATGGGAAAAAATCCCAGTGGCTAGATGTGCCAAGCTTATAGAGACATACCCCAAGAGACTTGCAGCTGTAATTGCTGCAAAAGGTGGCTCTACAAAGTATTGACTTTGGGGGGGGTGAATAGTTATGCACACTCAAGTTTTCTGTTTTTTTGTCTTATTTCTTGTTTGTTTCAGCCCAAAAAATATTTTGCATCTTCAAAGTGGTAGGCATATTGTGTAAATCAAATGATACAAACCCCCAAAATATCCATTTTAGGGTGAATGGGCAAGACAAAAGATTTAAGTGCCTTTGAATGGTAGGTGCCAGGCGCAACGGTTTGTGTCAAGAACTGCAACGCTGCTGGGTTTCTCAAGCTCAACAGTTTCCCTTGTGTATCAAGAATGATCCACAACCTAAAGGACATCCAGACAACTTGACATAACTGTGGGAAGCGTTGGAGTCAACATGGGCCAGCATCCCTGTGGAACACTTGACACCTTGTAAAGTCCATGCCCTGACAAATTGAGGCTGTTCTGAGGGCAAAAGGGGTGCACAGCTCAATATTAGGAGGGTGTTCCTAATGTTTGGTATACTCAGTGTACATTGTGCCAAGAAAGTAAGTTGGTCATTTCACAGGTGTGTATTGTCTTTTCATAAAAATGTTTTGAAGGTGGGAATAGAGACAGGCTTATGTCACACAGACAGGCATAAGGGAGAAAACCATGTTCACCCTGGCAAAGACAATAAAAGCAAAAGTATAATAATAATGTCTTTACATAACACTTGGCTTCATCAAAAAACTAAATAGACCGATATAGTTTAAAATGCCTTTATTTTTGATTATGGCATTTTCAATTGAAGCAAATGTTAAACTCAGACGCGTTTCAAAATCATGGCATTGGTCAGGGAGTAACAAAGGAACTATGAGAGCATGTCTTCTTTTGAACAAACCATGTTCCCATCAGCCCTAATTAAAGAAGGAGTGGTTACAGAGTAGTCATTGGTGGACACCACATAGTAAACAGTAAAAAGTAAAAGGTAATATACATAATAAATATAAAACATAGAAAAGGGTAATAGGGCAAAAAACAGACCACCAAGTAGTTATAGCAAACTAGGACCCTACAGAAATGGTGAGAAATAGATTTTTGTCCTTCCATATTCAAGGCCATAACTACTTAGACCTTTCTAATGCTTCTAACCTTAATATGCATTTTAATAGTATATATATTTAGAATGTATATTACCTTTAGCTTTTTACTGTTTACTATGTGGTGTCCACCAATGACTACTCTGTAACCACTCCCTCTTTAATCAGGGCTGATGGGAACATGGTTTGTTAAAAAGAAGACATGCTCTCATTGTTTCTTTGTGACTCCCTGACGAAGGCCATGATGCCGAAACATAGTGATTATGCTGCAGGGCCTTGCTCGGGCCAATCCTCTTGAACGCGAGGACAGTGTGTCACCACTTGTTGAGGTCACACTACCTCAAACTTCCATCATTATATTCTACTCAAACTTGCACCAACATCAGTGCGAATCATCTTAGTCCTTCGGTCAAACACGGTTTCCTTGGTTACCAGTGAGCATGCCTCTCCTTGGCGACCACCTCCAAGAAATGGGAATGGCTTGCATAGAGGGATAGGATGGAGTCAAGGTCGATCCAGTGGACTTGCCCGGCATCATCGCCTGCTTGCAATGGGAGCTTGCTCACACTGTTCCCTAGGTAACCAGAGCAAAAATCTACATTTCAGAGAACTGCAATGTGTGTACAAATAAAGAGCAGAATGGGGAAAAATTAAAAGGATAAGGAAACATGTTGCATGCTATCCTGCTGTGAGAATAGCCAAATCTTGATTGTTTTCATTGAATTTAGTCAACATTTTTTCCACATAGATAAGACTGCCTTAACTTGTTGTTTATCAGTGTCTATAATATTATAAGAGTAATCATTGATATACCTGTATCATCATGGAAGTTGACAGCAACTGTTTCCATCCAAGAGTTGTCATTATTTCTTGGGTCATCTACATAGCCCTTATAAACCTCAGAAGTAGAAGAGGGACAGAGAGAGAGAAAGAAAACAAGTGTTTTACGTCAACTACACAAGTGAATCCAAAATTAAAACAAATATATGAGGATAAATTATTTATAGCCTGCTGACCTCCAGACCTGGCGAGTTGAACAGCTGAGTGATGTGCTTGTGGATCCGCTCTCTGTCCTGGGGGGAAGCTGCCAGGGAGTTCAGAGCCTCTTCAGAGAACTCACGCTGCAGGGTGAGGGACACCAGCTCCCCCGGGTCTACCATACCCTACACACACAAATACACACACACAGTCATCATCCATAAGAATACGGTGAGGTGTAGAGCCATGTATGATGCCCTATGCTCCCAAGAAGGCCAAGATGACACAGATGTTCAGAGCAGGTGAGAAAGAGGAAGGAGGAGCAGGTGAGGAAGAGGATGGAGGAAGAGGAGGGAGGAGTAGGTGAGGAAGATGAGGGAGTAGCAGGTGAGAAAGAGGAGGGAAGAGCAGTTTAGACAGAGGAGGGAGGAAGGAAGGAGTTTAAAGAATCCCACTGACCCCTGGGATGGCCCATTCTCCACAATCTCTCCTCTTGATGGACACAAACTGCAGAACTGGCAGTTTGGACACTGGGTGCGACACTTGCTGTCCAGCTGAGTCTCTCTTCCACCTGTAGGGCGGTGGCACATACAGTAGAGACAGGTTCAACTACGGAGACTACCCCTAACTCCATAGGCCAGGGGTATTCAACTCTTACCCTACGAGGTCCGGAGCCTGCTGGTTTTTTGTTCTACCTGATAATTAATTTCACACACCTGGTGTCCCTGGTCTAAATCAGTCCCTCATTAGAGGGGAACAATTAAAAAATGCAGTGGAACTGGCTTCGAGGTACAGAGTTGAGTTTGAGGGTCATAGGCACTTCTGAGAGGGGTGTAACCAATATGGCGAGAATGCCACATAGCCTTTCAGAGGGCAAGGTCAGGGTGGAGCCTGGGTTTGGGGCCATTCCATTTAAATTCCAGTCAATCCAGGAAGTACACTGAAATTCAAATGATTTTCAATACATTTCAATTAGGAACACTTATAATTTGGTTTACTTTCTGAATTGACTGGAATTGAAATGCAGTTGACCCCAACCCTGGATAATACCATATTGCTTACACCAATTATCTCTTGCCTAGGGGATAGGGGTGGCCCAAATTGGGCACAGGAGTTGGTTTGACTTTAAAGAGAGTTTGTGGGAAGGTTATGGTTAAGTTATCTGAAAAGTAGTTGCATAGTTTAAGAGATGATGGAATAAAGTGGGAAAGTTACCTGGTAACAATGGGATCTGCTGCGTGATTGGGTCCCCACCGTCCCAGCAAACCTCTCCCAGTCAAACCAGTGCGGCCGCGAGGATTTCTAGAGGGGAACAAGAGTTAGCTTACGTATGATGAATTGCTACACAATCAATTATTTAAAATTGATATGAGGTCATATACACTACCGGTCAAAAGTTTTAGAACACCTACTCATTCAAGGGTTTTTCTTTATTTTTACTATTTTCTACATTGTAGAATAATAGTGAAGACATCAAAACGATATGGAATCATGTAGTAACCAAAGAAGTGTTAAAGAAAATCTAAATATATTTCATATTTGAAATTCTTAAAATAGCCACCCTATGCATTGATGACAGCTTTGCACACTCTTGGCATTCTCTCAACTGATGTGGAAAATAATCACTATACTTTCTTTAAAATCAAAGTTCTTCCAAGATTGACTTTATTTACAATTTCAACAAAGCCGAGTTGATCTGCAGAGTAGCTCCCCTCTATCTCCTAGCTCCCCGTTTATATAGTCATACACACATACAGTGCTATGAAAAAGTATTTGCCCCCTTTCTAATTTTATCTACTTTTGCATATTTGTGATACTGAATGTTATCAGATCTTCAACCAAAACCTAATATTAGATAAAGGGAACATAAGTGAACAAATAACACAACAATTACATATTTATTTCATAAACAAAGTTATGCAACACCCAATTCCCCTGTGTGAAAAAGTAATTGCCCCCTTACACTCAATAACTGGTTGTGCCACCTTTAGCTGCAATGACTCCAACCAAATGCTTCCTGTAGTTGTTGATCAGTCTCTCACGTCGCTGTGGAGGAATTTTGGCCCACTCTTCCATGCAGAACTGCTTTAACTCAGTGACGTGTGGGTTTTCAAGCATGAACTGCTCGTTTCAAGTCCTGCCACAACATCTCAATTGGGATTAGGTCTGGACTTTGACTAGGCCATTCCAAAACTTCCAATTTGTTGCTTTTTAGCAATTTTCATGTAGACTTGATTTTGTGTTTTGGATCATTGTCTTGCTGCATGACCCAGATGCGCTTCAGCTTCAGCTCACAGACGGATGGTCTGACATTCTCCTGTAGAATTCTCTGATACAGAGCAGAATTCATGGTTCCTTCTATTAAGGCAAGTCATCCAGGTCCTGAGGCAGGAAAGTATCCCCAAACCATCACACCACCACCCCCATGCTTGACCTTTGGTATGATGTTCTTACTGTGGAATGCAGTGTTTGGTTTTCGCCAGGCATAATGGGACCCAGTCACAGATAACATAAGACAACTGTAGAATTTGACCCAATGACAGGTCAGATGCCCATTTTACACAAACACAAGCCTAGTGAGAGGAATTCACTAAGCTCTTGCCTAGCAGCAGCAATGTACCAATGTTTAATTATGACTCCTTGTTTGTCATGTGTGTAATTAACTTTGGTTATCCAATAGTTTACAAAAAAATCTTCCTCACAACCAGCTTCACCTGGAATGCTTTTCCAATAGTCTTGAAGGAGTACCCACATATGCTGAGCACTTGTTGGCTGCTTTTTCTTCACTCTGCGGTCCGCCTCATCCCAAACCATCTCAATTTGGTTGAGGTCGGGGGATTGTGGAGGCCAGGTCATCTGATGCAGCACTTCATCACTCTCCTTCTTGGTAAAATAGCCCTTACACAGCCTGGAGGTGTGTTGGGTTATTGTCCTGTTGAAAAACAAATGGTAGTCCCACTAAGCCCAAACCAGATGGGATGGCGTATCGCTGCAGAATACTGTGGTAGCCATGCTGGTTAAGTGTGCCTTGAATTCTAAATAAATCACAGACAGTGTCACCAGCAAAGCACGCCCACACCATAACACCTCCTCCTCCATGCTTTACGGTGGGAAATAAACATGCAGAGATCATCCGTTCACCCACACCGCGTCTCACAAAGACACAGCGGTTGGAACCAAAAATCTCAAATTTGGACTCCAGACCAATTTCCACCAGTCTAATGTCCATTGCTCGTGTTTCTTGGCTCAAGCAAAGTCTCTTCTTCTTATTGGTGTCCTTTAGTAGTGGTTTCTTTGCAGCAATTCGACCATGCAGGCCTGATTCACACAGTCTCACCTGAACAGTTGATGTTTAGATGTGTCTGTTACTTGAACTCTTTTATTTGGGCTGCAATTTCTGAGGCTGGTAACTCTAATGAACTTATCCTCTGCAGCAGAGGTAACTCTGGGTCTTTCATTCCTGTGGCGGTCCTCATGACAGCCAGTTTCATCATAGCGCTTGTTGGTTCTTGAATTTTCCGTATTGACCTTCATGTCTTAAAGTAATGATGGACTGTCTTTTCTCTTTGCTTACTTGAGCTGTTCTTGCCATAATATAGGCTTGGTCTTTTACCAAATAGGGCTATCTTCTGTATACCCCCCCCTACCTTTGTCACAACACAACTGATTGGCTCAAACGCATTAAGAAGGAAAGAAATTCCAGAAATTAACTTTTAAGAAGGCACACCTGTTAATTGAAATGCATTCCAGGTGACTACCTCATGAAGCTGGTGGAGAGAATGCCAAGAGTGTGCAAAGGCAAAGGGTGGCTATTTGAAGAATCTCAAATATAAAATATATTTTGATTTGTTTAACACTTTTTTGGGTACTACATGATTCCATATGTGTTATGTCATAGTTTTGATGTCTTCACTGTTATTCTACAATGTAGAAAATAATAAAAATAAAGAAAAACCCTTGAACAAGTAGGTGTTCTAAAACTTTTGACCGGTAGTGTACAGTCGTGGTCAAAGGTTTTGAGAATGACACAAATATTAATTTTCACAAAGTCTGCTGCCTCAGTTTTTATGATGACAATTTGCATATACTCCAGAATGTTATGAAGAGTGATCAGACGAATTGCAATTAATTGCAAAGGCCCTCTTTGCCATGAAAATGAACTTAATCCCCAAAAAAACTTTTCCACTGCTTTCAGCCCTGCCACAAAAGGACCAGCTGACATCATGTCAGTGATTCTCTCGTTAACACAGGTGAGTGTTGACGAGGACAAGGCTGGAGATCACTCTGTCATGCTGATTGAGTTAGAATAACAGACTGGAAGCTTTAAAAGGAGGGTGGTGCTTGAAATCATTGTTAATTCCTCTGTTAACCATGGTTACCTGCAAGGAAACACGTGCCGTCATCATTGCTTTGCACAAAAAGGGCTTCACAGGCAAGGATATTGCTGCTAGTAAGATTGCACCTAAATCAACCATTTATCGGATCATCAAGAACTTCAAGGAGAGAGGTTCAATTGTTGTGAAGAACGCTTCAGGGCGCCCAAGAAAGTCAAGCAAGCGCCAGGACCGTCTCCTAAAGTTGATTCAGCTGCGGGATCGGGGCACCACCAGTGCAGAGCTTGCCTAGGAATGGCAGCAGGCAGGTGTGAGTGCATCTGCACGCACAGTGAGGCGAAGACTTTTGGAGGATGGACTGGTGTCAAGAAGGGCAGCGAGGAAGCCACTTCTCTCCAGGAAAAACATCAGGGACAGGGATTGGACTGCTGAGGACTGGGGTAAAGTCATTTTCTCTGATGAATCCCCTTTCCGATTGTTTGGGGCATCTGGAAAAAACTCTGAGAGCAACTTCTCCCAACCATCCAAGAACAGTTTGGTGACGAACAATGCCTTTTCCAGCATGATAGAGCACCTTGCCGTAAGGCAAAAGTGATAACTAAGTGGCTCGGGGAACAAAACATCGAAATGTTGGGTCCATGGACAGGAAACTCCCCAGACCTTAATCCCATTGAGAACTTGTGGTCAATCCTCAAGAGGCGGGTGGACAAACAAAACCCCAGAAATTCTGACAAACTCCAAGCATTGATTATGTGTCACGGATTCTGCCGAGGCTGCTCCTCCTCCTTGCTCGGGCAGGCTTCGGCGTTCGTCGTCCCCGGTGTTTTTCCCTCCTGTTTCGGAGGTTTTGTTTTGCTCTTTATATTTAGTAAAGTAAGTCTGCTAGTATCTCTGTGTCCTGCGATTGACTTCACTCGCCGCATACACATCGCACCTGACAGAATAACACACCACACCATGGAGTCAGCAGGATCAGCGGTGCCAACGGGATCATTGGAGGAGCGCGTAAGCAACCAAGACGCCATGATCCAGAAACTGGGCACCGCCATGCAAGATGTTATGAACACCTTGAGCCGATGGGAGAGAGGAGGTTTGCCCACACCTCCTCCAACAATACCACCACCCTCAGCCATACCCATCGTTCCATCTCCGGAGTCCAGTGGGATTCGGCTCTCGCTCCCGAGGGCTTATGATGGCACCGCGGCCGGGTGTCAGGGTTTCCTGCTCCAAGTAGAACTCTACCTGGCAACCATTCACCCGGCGCCCTCGGGATACGAGAGCGTTTCCGCCCTCATCTCCTGTCTGTCCGGCAAGGCACTGGAGTGGGCCAACGCCGAATGGAGGGGAATAGACGCCGCTACAGTCAGTTATGCAGAGTTCCCACGCCGCTTCAGGGCGGTTTTCGATCATCCCCCCAGAGGGGAAAGCGGCGGGGGAGCGTCTGTTCCACCTCAGACAGGGGAAGAGGAGCGCGCAGGAATTCGCACTGGATTTCCGGACTCTGGCGGCCAATGCGGGATGGAATGAGAGGGCCCTCAACGACCACTATAGGTGCAGCCTACGGGAGGACGTTCGCCGAGAGTTGGCCTGCAGGGACACCAACCTAAGCTTCGATCAGCTGGTGGACATGTCGATTCGTCTGGATACCCTGTTGGCTACCCGCGGACGTCCGGAGCTGGGGCCGTCCATTCCATCCCCCAGCACCTCCGAGCCGAGCCCTATGGAGCTCGGGGGTGCTGGTGCTAGAGAGAGGAGGAGAGAGACCAGGAGAGAGGCCGTCCCCTGCACCAACTGTGGCCGCAGAGGACACACTGCGGTTCGGTGCTGGGGAGGGTCTCCTAGGGATCGAGGCAGCAGGCCACGCAATGATGAGTCATTCCAGGTGAGTAAGCGCCCAACTCACCCAGAGCTCTCTGTTGTCCACATGTGTATCCAAGTTGTGTTCCCCGAGGTTTCTTCTCACTCCCAGCATAAGGCGCTAGTCGATTCAGGCGCAGCTGGGAATTTTATTGATCGCAGTTTCTGTTATAAGTTAGGGATTCCCCTCATACCAGTTGATGTGCCCTTCCCTATCCATGCCCTAGACAGCCGCCCTTTGGGGTCGGGATTGATTAGGGAGGTCACAGCGCCACTTAAGATGAAGACGCAGGGGGGTCATGAGGAGAGTATACAGTTGTATTTGATTGACTCTCCTGCGTTTCCCGTGGTGTTGGGGCTTCCCTGGTTAATATCTCATGACCCCAACATTTCATGGCAACAGAGGGCTCTCAGGGAATGGTCTGATCAGTGTGTCGGGCGGTGTATAGGTGTTTCCGTAGGGGCAACAACGGTGGAATGTCCGAACCAAATGCCTGCACTGCACATTCCTCCTGAGTATATAGATTTGGCACTCGTCTTCAGTAAGAAGAGGGCGTCTCAATTACCACCTCATAGACAGGGGGGTTGTGCAATAGACCTCCAGGCAGGCGCTGCACTTCCGCGTAGTCATGTGTATCCTCTGTCTCAAGAGGAGACGGCGGCTATGGAGACATACGTCACCGAATCTCTGGGACAGGGATACATACGGCCCTCCACTTCTCCTGCGTCCTCGAGTTTCTTTTTTGTGAAGAAGAAGGATGGGGGTTTGCGCCCGTGTATTGATTACCGTGGTCTCAATCAGATTACCATTACATACAGTTATCCTCTCCCTCTGATTGCGAGTATGACGGAGTTATTACACGGGGCGCGATTCTTCACAAAATTGGATCTCAGGAGCGCTTACAACCTGGTACGCATTAGGGAGGGAGATGAATGGAAAACAGCATTTAGTACCACCTCGGGTCACTATGAGTATCTCGTCATGCCCTACGGGTTAATGAATGCTCCTTCAGTCTTCCAATCATTTGTGGACAAGTTTTTCAGGGATTTGCATGGACAGGGTGTAGTGGTGTATATTGATGACATTCTAATATACTCCGCTACACGAGCCGAGCATGTGTCCCTGGTGCGTCAGGTGTTGGGTAGGCTGTTGGAGCATGACTTGTATGTGAAGGCGGAGAAATGCCTGTTTTTCCAGGAGTCCATCTCCTTCCTGGGACATCGGTTGTCCGCGTCAGGGGTGGAGATGGAGATTGACCGCGTTTCAGCCGTGCGTAACAGACTCCCACCACGGTGAAGGAGGTGCAGCGGTTTTTGGGTTTTGCCAATTACTACCGGAGGTTTATCCGGGGTTTTGGACAGGTAGCAGCTCCCATCACCTCCCTGCTAAAGGGGGGCCCGGTGCGTTTGCAGTGGTCGGCTGAGGCGGACAGAGGGTTTAGACATCTGAAGGACCTGTTCACCTCGGTTCCGGTGCTGGCACATCCGGACCCCTCTTTGGCGTTCCAAGTGGAGGTGGACGTGTCCGAGGCGGGGATTGGTGCTGTACTGTCTCAACGCTCGGGCACGCCTCCTAAACTCCGTCCCTGTGCCTTTTATTCTAAGAAGCTCAGTCCGGCGGAACGTAATTATGACGTGGGGGACAGGGAGCTGCTAGCGGTGGTTCAAGCCCTAAAGTTGTGGAGGCATTGGCTTGAGGGGGCTAAACACCCTTTCCTCATTCTGACTGACCATCGTAACCTGGAGTACATCCGGGCAGCGAGGAGACTGAACCCTCGTCAGGCTAGGTGGGCCATGTTTCTTGCCCGGTTTGTATTTAAGCTCACGTATATACCAGGGTCACAGAACGTGAAGGCAGACGCCCTGTCCCGGCAATATGACACAGAGGAGAGGTCCATTGAGCCCACTCCCATACTTCCGGAGTCTTGTCTGGTGGCACCGGTGGTGTGAGAGGTCGATGCGGAGATCGAGCGGGCGTTACGTACAGACCCTACTCCTCCTGAGTGTCCAGAGGGGCGGAAGTACGTGCCGCTCGAAATCCGTGATCGACTGATATATTGGGCTCACACGTCACCCTCCTCTGGTCACCCTGGTATTGGTCGGACAGTGCACTGCCTTAGTGAGAAGTACTGGTGGCCAACCTTAGCCAAGGACGTGAGGGTTTATGTTTCCTCCTGCTCGGTGTGTGCCCAGTGTAAGGCACCTAGACACCTGCCCAGGGGGAGGTTACAACCCCTACCCGTTCCACAACGGCCGTGGTCTCACCTATCGGTGGACTTTGTCACGGACTTTCCCCCTCCCAGGGGAATACCACGATTTTGGTCGTTGTGGATTGGTTTTCTAAGGCCTGCCGTCTCATTCCAATGCCAGGTCTCCCTACTGCCCTACAAACTGCTGAGGCCCTGTTTACACACGTCTTCCGGCACTACGGGGTGCCTGAGGATATAGTGTCTGATCGGGTCCCCAGTTCACCTCTAGAGTCTGGAGGGCGTTTATGGAACGTTTGGGGGTCTCGATTAGCCTTACCTCGGGTTTTCACCCTGAGAGTAATGGGCAGGTGGAGAGAGTAAACCAGGATGTGGGTAGGTTTCTGAGGTCCTATTGCCAGGGCCGGCAGGAGGAGTGGTCGGGGTATATCCCCTGGGCAGAGATAGCCCAAAACTCACTTCACCACTCCTCCACTAATCTTACTCCTTTTCAGTGTGTGTTGGGGTATCAGCCGGTCCTGGCACCCTGGCATCAGAGCCAGATCGAGGCTCCTGCGGTGGATGACTGGTTTCGGCGCTCGGAGGAGACATGGAACGCTGCGCATGTCCATCTGCAGCGGGCTATCAGTAGGCATAAGGCGAGCGCCGATCGCCACCGCAGTGAGGGTCCAGTTTATGCACCTGTAGATCGAGTCTGGCTCTCGACTCGAAACCTGCCCCTTCGCCTGCCCTGCCGGAAGCTGGGTTGGAGGTTTGTGGGGCCATTTAAAGTCCTGAGGAGATTGAACGAGGTATGTTATAGGTTACAACTGCCCATAAATTACCGCATTAACCCCTCGTTCCATGTGTCTCTCCTCAGGCCGGTGGTAGCTGGTCCACTCCAGAAGAATGAGATACGAGAGGCTCCTCCGCCCCCACTGGACATCGAGGGGGCTCCTGCGTACTCAGTCCGGTCCATCGTGGATTCGAGACGTCGGATGGGGGGTCTGCAGTATCTCGTGGAGTGGGAGGGGTACGGTCCGGAGGAACGGTGCTGGGTCCCTAGGAGGGACATCCTAGATCCCTTCCTCTTGACGGAGTTCCACCGGAGTCATCCGACTCGCCCTGCTCCGCGTCCTCCTGGCCGTCCCCGAGGCCGGGGTCGGCGCACGGCTGGAGCCGCACGTCAAGGGGGGGTACTGTCACGGATTCTGCCAAGGCTGCTCCTCCTCCTTGCTCGGGCAGGCTTCGGCGTTCGTCGTCCCCGGAGTACTAGCTACTGCCGATCGATGTTTCGTTGTTTGTCTTGTTTTGTCTTGAGTAGTTACACCTGTTGTCTATTATGTTTGATTGTATATCCTATAATTACCCTTGTCTCACGTTTGGTATTTGTGTGTTATTGTTTTGTTGTCTAGGCGGTATCGGCATTGCTGTATTTCATATCTTGTATGGTGTCACGATCGTTATGTGAAGCGGACCAAGGCGCAGCGTGATAGGCGTACATATTTTATTGAACGTACTCACACGAACAAAAACAACAAACCAAACGATACGTGAAGTCCTAGGTTAATAACACAAACCTATACGGATCAAGATCCCCCAAAACAAAAGTGCCAACAGGCTGCCTAAGTATGGTTCCCAATCAGAGACAACGAGAATCAGCTGCCTCTGATTGGGAACCACCCTGGCCAACATAGAAAACACGAAAATAACACATAGAAACTCCACACCCTGGCTCAACATATAAGAGTCCCCAGAGCCAGGGCGTGACAGTACCCCCCCCCCAAAGGCGCCAACCAAACCCAACAGGGGAGGGGCTGGGTGGGCATTCCGCCTCGGAGGCGGATCCGGCTCCGGGCGTGACCACCACTCTCTCGCTACCCCCCCGTAGCGCCCCTGGTCTGGTCCCGCTGGCCGGAGCTGGACTGGACACCGGTGGAGCAGGCACGGGCTGTGCCGGACTGACGACGCGCACCACTGGCTTGGTGCGGGGAGTAGGAACAGGCCGGACCGGGCTGGCGACGCGCACCACTGGCTTGGTGCGGGGAGCAGGAACGGGCCGGACCGGGCTGACGACGCGCACCACTGGCTTGGTGCGGGGAGCAGGAACGGGCCGGACCGGGCTGACGACGCGCACCACTGGCTTGGTGCGGGGAGCAGGAACAGGCCGGACCGGGCTGACGACGCGCACCACTGTCTTGGTGCGGGGAGCAGGAACAGGCCGGACCGGGCTGTCGACGCGCACAACTGGCTTGGTGCGGGGAGCAGGAACAGGCCTGACCGGGCTGGCGACACGCACCACTGGCTTGGTGCGGGGAGCAGGAACAGGCCGGACCGGGCTGGCGACGCGCACCACTGGCTTGGTGCGGGGAGCAGGAACAGGCCGGACCGGGCTGGCGACGCGCACCACAGGCTTGGTGCGGGGAGCAGGAACAGGCCGAACCGGGCTGGCGACGCGCACCACAGGCTTGGTGCGAGGGACAGGAACAGGCCGGACCGTACTGGGAACACACACCACTGGCCTTGTGCGGGGATCAGGAACGGGCCGGACCGGACTGGTAACACACCCCAGTACCTCTCGCCGTGCCTCTACACTCTCCTTCTCCCTCGTGACCAGTGGCCCCCGTAACCTGGCGGCCTCCTCTGCAAACCTGCCGAACCGCTCTATCGCGGCCTCCCGCTGCCTCGGCGTCCACGGTGTGAGCCCCCCCCTAAAAATGTTTTGGCCTTGTCTCTCCCCCGTGCTCATGGCCTCCATCCCTCTTGCCAGACTCTCACTCATCTCCTCCCAGGTCCATCCTCTCTCCTCGTCACGCTGCTTGATCCAGTCGAGGTGGGATCTTCTGTCACGTTGTTGATGTGGATGCGGTGGTGAAGTCAGGCGCAGGACACAGAGGATAAGTCAACACGACTTTACTGAGACTCATGAACAAATACAAAGTAAATGGCCTCAAAAACACCGGAGGCGAACTAATACGCGCAATGCGTAAAATACACTAAGTACACAAAGTACCGAACCTAGACACCAAACGACAGGCGGACATATTTTATTGAACGTACTCACACGAACAAAAACAACAAACCAAACGATACGTGAAGTCCTAGGTTAATAACACAAACCTATACGGATCAAGATCCCCCAAAACAAAAGTGCCAACAGGCTGCCTAAGTATGGTTCCCAATCAGAGACAACGAGAATCAGCTGCCTCTGATTGGGAACCACCCTGGCCAACATAGAAAACACGAACTAGAACACAACATAGAAAATAACACATAGAAACTCCACACCCTGGCTCAACATATAAGAGTCCCCAGAGCCAGGGCGTGACATTTGGTGTTTTTCCCTCCTGTTTCGGAGGTTTTGTTTTGCTCTTTACATTTAGTAAAGTAAGTCTGCTAGTATCTCTGTGTCCTGCGATTGACTTCACTCGCCGCATACACATCGCACCTGACATTATGCAAGAATGGGCTGCCATCAGTCAGGATGTGGCCCAGAAGTTAATTGACAGCATGCCAGGGCGGATTGCAGAGGTCTTGAAAAAGAAGGGTCAACAATGCAAATATTGACTCTTTGCATAAACTTATTGTAATTGTCAATAAAAGCCTTTGACACTTATGGAATGCTTGTAATTATACTTCAGTATACCATAGTAACATCTGACAAAAATATCTAAAAACACTGAAGCAGCAAACTTTGTGAAGACCAATATTTGTGTCATTCTCAAAACATTTGACCACGACTGTACATGTAGAACTCCGTAGCAAAACACTACTTAGTAACATGCTGCAGAATGCTAGCTTATCATTGGCTAGTCAATGATTGAATAGGGTCATACATTTGCCACAGCTGCTTCTGACAGCTCATGTTTACAAGTCAAGTAGGCATTATGTTGAAGATTTTAAAGATACACTCAGCAAGATTACATCAGCATCAACAGAATTCAAATCTGCACGGACTGATTTTCTTGGGGATTTCCACAATTTGAGCCAATAATGGCATCCTTGCCATATTTGAATGCTGTTGATGTTGTCTGTAAGTAGGAAGTTGTGTATTTTGATGTCATCTTGCTGAGGGTCACCATTGTAGAACTGTGTTGGATGAAGGCTCACAGTGGCATGCCCTGCTCCACTCTGTAGTCTCCCTCGTGACTCCGCCTGTCCACATTGCCATCCAGAGCGTTAAACCGCGGGGAGAAAGACCTGTGAAATAATACAACATTTTAATAATACTTAACAATCATTAATAATCAACTAATCAGTTATAACCACATGTCAGTAAAACAGATGACAAAATTGATTTGTAACCCTCTCTCTCGCTCACTCACCCGATGTCCTGATCGGCCCATTCAGGCTTGATGAGCACAGACCTGGCAGTGTAGCTCACTGGGCTGTACTGGGGCCAGTCGGTCTTCCAGTCCACTTTGTCATCAGGCACTGGGAACCGCTGTGTCTCTGAGCCTGGGTACTTTGGGCATCTGGCCTTGCTGTGAGGGGCCGAGGAGGGCATGGTGAAGACACTGGGCGGTAGCACACACAGACTATAGGCACTGGTACTGAGGCTTTTACTAACTCTGGCAGAAAACTGGTCAGGAGGGCATGAGGTGGGAGGCCTGGGGAGGGAGAGAGATTTAATATCTAAAAGTAACATTTGAAGTAACCTTAGCAATGTATGACAATAATAACATAAAACAGAGGGTAGCTACAATGCAGACAACAAGGCAATAGTAGTCTACAGAAGGTGAAAAGAACAGATACCTAATGATACGAATAGAATTATCATACTTACTTCAGAATGATTCCATACCTGATTCCTGAGGTGCAGAGGCAATATGGAAATCCTAAAAGGGTAAGTGCTATTCGAATCGGCCCAACCCTGTTTCCAACCCAACCCAGTTTCGTCACACTCGTATCATAACCAGTCAGTCAACACAATACAGTCCTGTATACACACTGATAATGCTGCATTAAGCAGGAAATACAGTCAAAGCCCGCTGCTATGCTTTAAAAAAAAGGAGCACACCGAATCGTATAGGAATATTTCAGTGTTGTTGCGGACGGCGCAATCAGAAATAATTTGGAAGCTGCCTTTGCTCATATGATTCGATGTTTCATTCCGTTTCAACCCACTGTACCAAATATTTGTCTAACTAACCCCAGATAGACCACGGCCTGTCGTTTCCAATTGGAACACATGAGTCATAGTGGGCAGAACAAGCAAGGAGGGGGGCAGAGCCAAGCACGAGCTAGCGAAATCCTATTGGCGCGTTCTAGCATCATTAGCATATTTCTGTTAGGGAACATCTACTCTATGAAGTGCGTGTGTGCAATAACTCAATTCGCCCTTGCACTCCTTCTAAACAACGCAATTTTTAAAACTTTGGTAAAGGGTAAAATCTACAAAACTTAGTCCACTCTGTTCGTAGCAGATTGTAGTTTGGGGAACAGAAAACTGTATTGAAATCAAATGTTTCATCGATGTGAAAATTAGCATAACGTCTGCCAAAATCCATCTCGTTCCATCTTCTCCCACTGCCGGCCACTGGGCTTCCGCTCATCACCATATTTGGTAGTGAGTGGAAACGCCACCCGGATGCTTCACACCTAAACGTCTGGTGAAATATCTGGCTCATTGTTCTTTCTGTGACTGTACTGTCTTTGGTTTCAACGTTTGTTTCTGCTTCCGCATGTCGTCATGACGTCAGCGCCCAGTCTTTGATCACAAATAGAACAATGAGCCAGATATTTCACCGGATGTATAAATCTGAAGCATCCGGTTAGCGTTTCCACTTGGTGTAGACACGAGCGCGGGATCAGAGAGTAAGAGATAGAGAGCGGCCCAACTCGGCGGAAAATCTGTCTCCCTCCAGCAGGTGGCGTTTTTCCATTGTTTCGTACACCAAGCAAATAGTTTTTGTATGGAGGTCAATGAGTGTCGAATTTGGTCCCCCAAAAAATGTATGTCTTTATTTGCTATGTGAGGTTTATTTGATCGAATAGAAGTTTCGTAATGCTTAAGTTGTTACAAGTGTACTGATATAAGTAGGACATGTGACATCCCGGCAACTTTTAGAAAAAAACACTTTATATTGGAGTTGTCTCAAGATGGCTATGCATATTCATGGCATGAGGCTAGTAGCATAGCATCTCTCTCCATTGAATACAGGCGGTTGACGTCAACAACCCTCATCAAATATTCAAAAAAGGATTATAATAATTAGATGTATCCACCAAACCAAAGAAAGGATAGCTAGACAGCCCGCTGTGCCGCTTTGTGGACAATGACTCTCGTTGTTAGGGTGGAGAGACATGTATCTTGTCAGTATATCCATAATCTTTGGCGGGATACAGATTTGAGGAAAGAAAAGGAACACGAGACGGACGGAGGAGGTGCGATGACGTGAAAGCGTAAGAATGGCGCTGTTAAGATCAGAGATTAGTCTCCTGAGTATACATCTTCGTTCAAGGTGTATATACCTACATCTCCTGATTTCAAACAAAGTAATCTTACTTATAGGTCTTCATACTCTCTTGAAAACCTAGATGATCTCTAAATGGAGTCTTTTATTTAATTTTTTATTTAACCTTTATTTAACCAGGTAAGCCAGTTGAGAACAAGTTCTCATTTACAACTGCGACCTGGCCAAGATAAAGCAAAGCAGTGCGATAAAAACAACAACACAAGAGTTACATATGGGGTAAAACAAAACATATATTCAAAAATACAACAGAAAAATATATATACAGTGTGTGCAAATGTAGCAAGTTATGGAGGAAAGGCAATAAATAGGCTATAGTGCAAAATAATTACAATTAGTATTAACACTGGAATGATAGATGTGCAAGAGATGATGTGCAAATAGAGATACTGGGGTGCAAATGAGCAAAATAAATAACAATATGGGGATGAGGTAGTTGGGCGGGCTAATTTCAGATGGGCTGTGTACAGGTGCAGTGATTGGTGAATGGAGTCTGATGGCAGTGGTGAGCGCTCTGAGGTTGAGCCAGTCCAGGATGAACAGGGCCTACTTGCACTGACAGGTGTAGTGGAGACTTTCAGTGGAGACTTCCGATGTTTGCCCTGAAAATCCTACCAGAGATGATTTTTGGAAAGAGTGGATTCATGCTTTTTGGCCGACCCATACATTGTGTCGGGCTGGGTAAAGGACAAACTGGGAATGGTTACATCTTTGAAAATATGCAATGCATGCTAGAACGCGCCAATAGGATCTCGCTAGCTGTGCTTGGCTCTGCTCACCTCCTTGCTTGTTCTGCCCACTATGATTAATTTGCTCCCATTGGAAACGACCCAGTGGAAGCGACCGTTAATATTATACCTCAGTGATTTATCTTGGGTTAGTTATAAAAATCTTTGTTTTGATCCCAAATTATACCCTGCTTAGTCCCCTACCCTCCCTCCTGGTCATGACTAGAAGGGATCCAGCTTTTGTCAAATTAATGTCAAAAGTAGATTTTTTGCATTTTAGCTAACCCTAACCCTTTTCCTAACCTTAACATAATTTTCCTATCCTGCTATGTTAATTCTCCTAACATACTGCATAAATTCTCCTAACCTGCTACGAAAAGTCAAATCTGATGTTAACAAAAGCTTCTAGCCATGACCCTCCCTCCCAAGCACTTGTGACAGACATTCCTACCTAAGCAATGTGGTTGCTAACAATGTTCCCTCAATTTTTTTGGGGCACTGAGCAAATTGCAGGTCTGCTGAGCGCAAACTTAACATTGTGAAAATTCTATGGAACTTCCAGCGCGTGTTTACTGTGAACACTGAGGCTGTACCCACTTTAAGTTACAGTTTTAACAGTGGCCATGTAGGCTACTGTGGCTATTTGATCATAGTGTAGGCCTACCAGAGTAGCCTACCATAAAAAACAATGGAGAAAATGCATCCCATAACATTTGAACATGGAAATAGCTGTTTTAGCAGCCAATGTGTGGTGTTCAATGTAGGCCTACATTCCATGAGACTTTTGAAAAAAAACATGCAGGGCTTGCCATAAACCTGTTTATCTACTTGTTCTTCAGACAAGGAGGTGACTGAAAATGTTGTTTTCTTGTTTGATGCAAGAAAACACTTTACAAAATAAAAAGCATTATTATTCCCATACCATTATTACAGAGGATCAGACAAATTATGCTACCCTCTGCCTATTGGCTACTTAGCTTATTCAAGCCTGTCTCAAAATACAACACTGCCCCTTTAAGACAAAAAATAGCTATTTACCTGACTCACTTTTCAAAGATGTCTAGAAATATATATGTTTTGTGCTTGTGTAGGAAGCAATCACTCCCCTATTACTGACTACAAATAATGTATAACTGGGCTAATAACTCACTAACTAGCAAAGGATATGAACAAAATGTGCACACATGGCTAAATGCAGCTCTCGCTTTGATCTCAAAACAAGTGTATCTACTCACGACCACTCATGCTGTAAACACAGTCCACTTCAAAGTAAATGGCACAGATCCATATATGGCAATGGTCTATTTGCATATAGGCCTACTGCAGCTCTGATTGTTTATGCCACACTGGTCTGTGTAGAGTAAGGGCTGAGTAGTGCATGTCAATGCAATAGAATCCTACTCCGATGCGTTCTGCCTACAACAAAATCTCTTGTATAGTTCATTTTGTTTCGGGTATGTTGCATTGAAAGTGGCTAATATTGCGTTGATTTGATCACAATTGCCACAGTAAAGGGAAACGTTGATTGTGTTAACAGGGAAAACTGTAGAACAGTGGTCACCAACCTTTTCTGAGTCAAGATCACTTTGAGTCAAAATGCAAGCTGAGATCTACCGCTCATATTTTTTTGTAACATTACTTAAAAAACGTAAGCCTATGCAACATTAACCAATTAAAAACAGTACTGTAGCAATGAGGTTTGTGCAGTAAGCTATAGGCCCAATACATTATCACCGCATATTGGCTTTGCTTGAATTGCCCTGCCAATACATTGTTGTTTGGGGCATTTCAAAATTTGAGTTAGTCTATATGATCACACCGGTAATAGATCCGTTGGTGTATTACTGTTGAACACAGCTGAGTGAGCATCAGCATACATTTAAATAATTAGCTTTTTATTTTATTGGGCTGATGGTGCCTGCATCTGATGGTCAGTCTCAGCGGAGGGAGAGAGCAGCAGACTGAGGGTCCGCCTCTCAACATCCCTCCGCTCTCCCTTACCAAAAAGGGACACCGTCTTCCAGATGATGGCAAAACTCGAGTCACACCACATTATTTCTGCCTCATGCACAAATTCATGTTGTTACTCCTATGAACAGAGAAAGTGAAATATTCCTCGATATTAAAAAAGACCCAAGTCGCTAATAATAACAACAACGCAAGCCTATAGATACACTTTCCTACTCATTTATTACTTCTGCAGTACTTGTTTAGCGCTGAGTGAAAATAGGAAGAACTCATATTTTATGGCTTATGAAAGTGTTGAATACAAAGTGTTCCGAGTGGCGCAGTGGTCTAAGGCACTGCATCGCACTGCTAGCTGTGCCACTAGAGATCCTGGTTCGAATCCAGGCTCTGTCGTAGCCGGCCGTGACCGGGAGACCCATGGGGCGGCGCACAATTGGCCCAGCGTCATCTAGGGTAGGGGAGGGAATGGCCAGCAGGGGATGTAGCTCAGTTTGTAGAGCATGGCGTTTGCAACGCCAGGGTTGTGGGTTCGATTCCCAAGGGGGGTATGGAAAAAAAATTATAAAATATAAAAATATGATTTAAAACGAAAAAAACAAAACATGTATGCACTAACTGTAAGTCGCTCTGGATAAGAGCGACTGCTAAATGACTTAAATGTAAATGTTGACAGTGCTGCGTAACATTTACATCATTTAGCAGACGCTCTTATCCAGAGCGACTTACAAATTGGTGCATTCAATTTATGATAGCCAGTGGGACAACCACTTTTTAAAATTATTTTTATTATTATTATTATTTGGGGGGGAGGGGGGGTAGAAGGATTACTTTTATACTATTCCAGGTTTTCCTTAAAGAAGTAGGGTTTCAAGTGTCTCCGGAAGGTGGTCAGTGACTTCGCTGTCCTGGCGTCGTGAGGGAGCTTGTTCCACCATTGGCGTGCCAGAGCAGCGAATAGCTTTGACTGGGCTGAGCGGGAACTGTGCTTCCGTAGAGGTGGCTAGCAGGCCAGAGGTGGATGAACGTAGTGCCCTCGTTTGGGTGTAGGGTCTGATCAGAGCCTGAAGGTAAGGAGGTGCTGTTCCCCTCACAGCTCCGTTGGCAAGCACCATGGTCTTGTAGTAGATGCGAGCCTCAACTGGAAGCCAGTGGAGTGTGCGGAGGAGCGGGGTGACATGAGAGAACTTGGGAAGGTTGAACACCAGATGGGCTGCAGCGTTCTGGATAAGTTGTAGGGGTTTAATGGCACAGGCAGGGAGCCCAGCCAACAGCGAGTTGCAGTAATCCAGACGGGAGATGACAAGTGCCTGGATTAGGACCTGTGCCGCTTTCTGTGTAAGGTAGGGTCGTAGTCTGCGAATATTGTAGAGAATTAACCTGCAGGATCGGGTCACCGCTTTGATGTCTCCCGATTGGCGCAGTGGTCTAAGGCACTGCATCGCAGTGCTAGCTGTGCCACTAGAGATCCTGGTTCGAATCCAGGCTCTGTTGTAGCCGGCCGCGACCGGGAGACCCATGGGGCGGCGCACAATTGGCCCAGTGTCGTCCAGGATAGGGGAGGGAATGGCCGGCAGGGATGTAGCTCAGTTGGTAGAGCATGGCGTTTGCAACGCCAGGGTTGTGGGTTTGATTCCCACGGGGGGCCAGTATGAAAAAATATATATATATAATAATAATGTATGCACTCACTAACTGTAAGTCGCTCTGGATAAGCGCGTCTGCTAAATGACTAAAATGTAAATGTAATGTTAGCGGAGAACGACAGGGTGTTGTCCAGGGTCACGCCAAGGTTGTTTGCACTCTGGGAGGAGGACACAATGGAGTTGTCAACCGTGATGGCGAGATCATGGAGCGGGCAGTCCTTTTCCGGGAGGAAGAGCAGCTCCGTCTTGCCATGGTTCAGCTTGAGGTGGTGATCCGACATCCACACTGATATGTCTGCCAGAGATGCGATTCACCACCTGGTGACAGGTAGGACGCAATCCAAGAGTGAGCCGCGCCGGAGATGCCCAACTCGGAGAGGGTGGAGAGGAGGATCTGATGGTTCACAGTATCAAAGGCAGCAGATAGGTCTAGAAGGATAAGAGCAGAGGAGCGAGAGTTAGGTTTAGCAGTGCGGAGAGCCTCCGTGACACAGAGAAGAGCAGTCTCAGTTGAATGACCAGTCTTTTTACAGAACTGTTTGGTGATCGACTAGGAATGCCTTGGAGATTGACCAGTCGATCGCGATCGACCAGTTAGTGACCACTGCTCTAGAAGGTCTCGGGACTACTGTGCGCACGCAGCAGTTTAGAGGGAACATTGGTTGGTTATCCTATCCTCTATATTCATGTATTGCTTACACCACCCCTATCTGTGTTTATCAAAACTTTTGTGTAATTGTTGTTGCTTTGGATAAAAGCGTCTGCTAAATGGCATATTATTATTATTATTATTATTGTTCATACTTGAGTCATTTTCTATTAAGGTATCTTTACTTTTACTTAAGTATGAAAATAGGTTACTTTTCCACCACTGGAAAAATGCACTTACTATGACCGTGATATGTGGTTGTCCCACCCAGCTATTTTAAGATGAATGCAATAACTGTTCAGTTCTAATTTTTCTATTCAGCCTGCCATCCAGATGGTGGCAGTAACGCATCACAGTTGGGATGTCAACCGCTGCTGAAACTCCAAAGCAAAGAAGACTACGAAGAAGAACTAGAAACGAATGCATTTACCCACTCTGGAGGGGGGCCTTGATCGACTCGTCTTCATCCGTCAACGAAACGAACCAAGGAAATATATTTAACCTTCCAATCAACCTGAAGTCAATTTTAGAGTTGCGCCAGGCACCCTCCCAAATATTGACTGAAAATAGTAGATTTTTAGACTGAATCATGGCGGATTCGAGCAACAGTGCTGCGGCGGCTGGAGCCACAGGCTCGAATACTGGCGCCTCCGGGGCTGTTGCGCCGGAGGGAGCGACTGGAGCTGCGGGGATCAAGCCCGTGTTGGAGGTGGTAAAGGGGCAGAACTTTGACGTTGGCCCCCGCTATGTCAACCTCTCGTACATCGGGGAAGGGGCCTACGGAATGGTTTGGTAAGAGAAAATATACGATGTTCGTCGTAAAAACGTTGACTTCAGTATAAAAAAACAAGCAAGCTAAGCTTCGTCTGAAGGCGTTGGCTAACTCCCTGCCTCCTCATATCGCCTATTCATTGACATAATAACAACTATCTAGCTGTAAATGCACAATTCTGCACTTACCCTTGTTGTGTATTCATTTGCACTTAACGTTACCACTGGTAGTGATAAACTATTTCTACGTAGTTAACTGGCTAGCTAGCAACAGATTGCCAGCGTTTGGCTCACTTAGCTAGCTAGCTACACTAGTAGTTAGGTTAGTAGGTAGCTACTAGCTAGCTAGCTAACGTTACGTTTTGTGGTTTTAGTATGTCCTGATGCCCACTATTGTATCCCAGTATCGTGCACAATTGTATAAAATGAAAAAGCTAGTTTCTACAAGACACAGCATACGTCATTTGTAGTAAATTGTGGCAAACAACGCTAGCTATCTAGCTAGTTTGCAAACTAACTAGCTATATAATAACCGCAGGCTAACTCGCTAGCTAACAACGTTAGCTTACAATTAGCTAAGTCGCTAATAGGCGTGGTTATTATGAGGCTGCCAAGTTCTTTTTCAATACAGGAAGTGGGAGGAAGTGATTGCGCAGGTCTTTGTAATCTTGATACAGTATAAACAGTCCATTGTTCACACAGCTTGAGTCGTTTTTTGATGGGCCAACTGTTACTAGCTAGTTAGTTAACCAACCTCACTGATGATAATGACGATAACACTTGTTTTCTAGTAGAAAATGTCTCGAGGTTTTCTGTGCAATATTGCACAGTGCACAAGCTGCGCGTGAGAGTTTAAGCAAGATCAAATATTGAGTTTAGCTCGATTTCAGATGTTTTCATTGGTCCTTTTATGCAAGAGGAAACCGCACTTTACAGCTCCAGCTATATGCAGTATCAACAGTTTATCTACCTCTGGTAGGTGTAAGTCAGCAAAGCAAGTTTTTACTTGCGAGTAATGGCAAGCACTTCTGGCCTTATCCAAGTTATCTAAACAATGGCTAGATAAAGTGTTACACCATTATTTCATACTTGACATTTTTTTAACCAAATGCACAACACACCATAGCATGCACACCACACTCTGAATGTAATCAAAATAGTGTATAGACTTTTACATTTCCTTGACAGTTTTATTTGCTATGTTGTCAAATAGAGCAAAACCCCTCTTCTGCAATGGTTCCTCTTAGTTGGTCGTCTCATTGTGCTCATGCTCAGGTGTCAGTCATCACTGTGTCAGTCATCACTGTGTCACTATTATAAAGAACTATCATGTAATGTGCTGGGCTTATTGTGCTGGTTGTAACTGGAGCCCCCTCTCCCCCATCTCTCTCTCATCTCTCTCTACCCTCCCCTCCACCCCCCCCATCTCTCTCTCTCTCTCCCTGTCTCTCTACATCCCGTCTCTCTCCTAACTCTCTCCCATTTCTCTCTCCTCCACCCCACCCAGCTCGGCCCATGACGGCATGACGGATTCTCGCGTGGCCATTAAGAAGATCAGTCCATTTGAGCACCAGACGTACTGTCAGCGCACCCTGAGGGAGATCAAGATCCTGCTGCGGTTCCGCCATGAGAACATCATCGGCATCAACGACATCCTGAGGGCCCGCCGCATCGAGTGCATGAGGGATGTGTATTCTTTTACCCGGAAAGGGAAAGGGGGATACCAGTTGTACAACTGAAGGCATTCAACTGAAATGTCTTCCGCATTTAACCCAACCCATCTGAATCAGAGACGGAGGCTAATGGGGAAACTGTCTGGCTCTCTGTGTGTGTGATCTCTGCACACTTAATAGTACATTACTAGTGGTGGGGTATGCTAAATAAGTACAACAGAATAGGCCTAATTAAAATAATAGTGATAAAGGAAACAAAATATGCTGGGTAGTGCATGCCCAGAGCTCATGGCTGAACAGTACCCGGATTGAAATTGGAGTGGGAGAGAAAGCCAACGGTCAATATATATATAAAAAAATGTTTTACATCCCCTCCACTCACCTGCAAAATTACGCAAGCATGGCTCCTCACTCCACTCAGCTCACATGCTCTGGTGTGGTATTTAAAAATTATTCTGCTTGTCTCCAGTCATGTAAAATGACGTAGAATTGCATGAAATGGGTTTATCAAAGGCAGTTTTTTCTCGGACCCGCAAATACCATGATAGATTTATGCAATGCTTTTATTATAAAGTAGATATTTTCACCCCTACCCTTGTCTGCTGTGGTCTGCAAACCCACAACCTTCTGGCCTGCAGCCCTGCGCACTATCAACATGTATACGTTGCTATGTAATGCTTACGAGACAAATAACAGTTTCTAAAACTGCATATCTAAGGCTCTGGTCTGTCCAAGGAGTGAGGGTAAACGGTAGACATGTTCTCTGCTATCCACTTTGTTTTCATTATTATTTAGGGTGTAGGGGAGGGTCACTTTTTTACGTGTTCAGGGAGGGTCGGGTACAAATATATTTTACTGAAGGGAGGGTCATCCATTTTAATTTCAGAGGTCCAATTTTCTCCAGGTATCCCTCATTATAAATAACATACCGTCCCTAAATGTTTTCATGAGCTCAGTATTTCCTTGTTCCTAGGTTGACGAAAACAAAGGTTAAGAAAATGTAGTACCGGTAATTCCATGCAGAAGCATTGGAGAAAAAAACAAATTAATTGGACCTGCGCCAGAGCGGAAATTACTGGAAGTGAATGTTAGCTATACAGGGGGGAACTAGGCGATTATTACGATGGGTGTGTAAAGGCCTTTATGCTTTCTAAAACTCCACCAAAAATTCACACTTAACACATGGAATTGGTTACAGTCAGGTTCAAATGGATATGTGGTTGTTGGCCCGCAGTGCCCGTAACTGTCATATGCCTCCTCATCCTCTGTTGGCCCCTTGCTGGTTCCCAGCTATATACTACTGAACCTCATGGAGACAGACCTTTACAAGCTTAGATCTAACAGAATAATAAGGGTTATGGTTGGGTCCCTCTCTGTTCGTTAGGTTCCTTAACCCCTTGTTTCCCAGCTACATAGTGCAGGACCTGATGGAGACAGACCTGTACAAGCTCCTGAAGACCCAGATGTTGAGTAACGACCACACCTGCTACTTCCTGTACCAGATTCTGAGAGGCCTGAAGTACATCCACTCTGCCAACGTGCTGCACCGCGACCTCAAGCCCTCCAACCTGCTCATCAACACCACCTGTGACCTGAAGGTAATAATAACCAGAATACTACTACTAACCCTAACCCGATAACTACAATACAACTGCTAACCCTAACCCTATATCTACAATATTACTACTGCTAACCCCAACCCTATAACTGCAATACTACTAATACTTACCCTAACTGTGACCTCAAGGCATGGTTAGCTACCCCCTATCCATTGATTTAAGATCAGGGCCAATATTTATAAAGCGTTTCAGAGTATAAGTACTGTTCTAGGGTCAGTTTTGCCTTGTCAATTAATGGACAGGAGGCACCTGATCCTAGATCAGCACTTCTTCTCTGAGACACATATCAATACACCCCTGGTTACCCTAGCTATCACCCAATCATAACCCTAACCATTAGGGAGTGGGGAAATCTAACCTTGGACAAGTGGTTGGGCTCCATCGTGTGAAGAAAATGATCTACTCTATACTGTATAGACTGATCTTAACCAGAAGATGGCGTAGTGGGGATTTGCTTGCATGAACAGGGGTGTATTTATTCAGCCGATTCTGTTGCAAAACGTTTCTTAAGTGGAAGCAAACAAAACCAGGAGGGACTCAACTGAATTTGTCCAATACAAACTCTCGTTTTAGTTGCAGGCAAGTGTTTGGACTAATGATTACACCCCAGGTCATTGTGTGTACATGTCTGCATGCTGCTCTGCGTGTTTTAACGACCCTCCTCTGTCAGATCTGTGACTTTGGGCTGGCACGGATAGCTGACCCAGAGCATGACCACACAGGCTTCCTGACAGAGTACGTGGCTACGCGCTGGTACAGGGCCCCCGAGATCATGCTCAACTCCAAGGTGTGTGTGTGCATTGATTCCATGTCTGTAGACCATGTTTTATCTGTCAGGGCTACTCCTAGTCCTTTGATAGTGTGTATGTGAATTAATGTGTTTGTACTAACTCCGTGTGTTGTTCAGGGCTACTCCAAGTCCATTGATATCTGGTCAGTGGGCTGCATCCTGGCTGAAATGCTGTCCAACAGGCCCATCTTCCCAGGGAAGCACTACCTGGACCAGCTCAACCACATACTGGGTGAGAGAGAGACACAGGATGCGACCCAAATAGCAGCCTAATCCCTATCTAGTGCGCTTCTTTTAACTAGAGACTTATGGGCCCTAGTCAAAAGTAGTGCACTATGTTTGCAACGCCAGGGTTGTGGGTTCGATTCCCACAGGGGGCCAGTATGGGAAAAAAAATATGTATGCACTCACTAACTGGAAGTCCTTCTGGATAAGAGCGTCTGCTAAATGACTAAAACAATTCTGAGTTACAGCTCATATAAGGAAATCAGTCAATTGAAATAAAGAAATTAGGCCCTAATCTATGGATTTCACGACTGGGAATACAGACATGCATCTGTTGATACCTTTAAAAAAAAAATGGTAGGGGCGTGGATCAGAAAACGAGTCAGTATCTGGTGTGACCACCATTTGCCTCATGTAGCGCGACATCTCCTTTGCTGACCAGTTGATCAGGCTGTTGATTGTGGAATGTTGTCCCACTCTTCAATGGCTGTGCGAAGTTGCTGGACATGAACAGGAACTGGAACACGCTGTGAGCATCCCAAACATGCTCAGTGGGTGACATGTCTGGTAAGTATGCAGGCCGTGGAAGAACTGGGACATTTTCAGCTTCCAGGAATTGTGCACAGATCCTTGCGACGTGGAGCTGTGCATTATCATGCTGAGACATGAGGTGACGGTGGTGTATGGATGGCACGACGATGGGCCTGAGGATCTCATCCCGGTATCTCTATGCAATGAAAGAGCCATCGATAAAATGCAATTGTGTTCGTTGTCTGTTGCTTATGCCTGCCCATACCATAACCCCACCGCCACCATGGGGCCCTCCGCAAACCGCTCGCCCACACAACGTCTGCCATCTGCCCGGTACAGTTGAAACTGGGATTCATTGGTGAAGAGCACACTTCTCCAGCGTGCCAATGGCCATTAAAGGTGAGCATTTGCCCACTGAACTCGGTTACGACGCCGAACTGCAGTCAGGTCAAGACCCTGGTGAGGACGCATATGAGCTTCCCTGAGACGGTTTCTGACAGTTTGTGCAGAAATTCTTCGGTTGTGCAAACCCACAGTTTCATCAGCTGTCCGGGTGGCTGGTCACAGACGATCCTGCAGGTGAAGAATCTGGATGTGGAGGTCCTGGGCTGGCTTGGTTCCACGTGGTATGCGGTTGTGAGGCCGGTTGGACGTACTGCCAAATTCTCTAAAACGACGCGGTAGAGAAATGAACATTTAAATTCTCTGGCAACAGCTCTGGTGGACATTCCTGCAGTCAGCATGCTAATTGCAAGCTCCTTCAACTTGAGACATCTGTGGCATTGTGTTGTGTGACAAAACTGCACATTTTAGAGTGGCCTTTTATTGCCCCCAGCACAAGGTGCACCTGGGTAATGATCATGCTGTTTAATCAGCTTCTTGATATGCCACACCTGTCAGGTGGATGGATTATCTTGGCAAAGGAGAAATGCTCACTTACAGGGATGTAAACAAATTTGTGCACAAATGGGATCTCATGAAACATGGGACCAACACTTTACATGTTGTGTTTTATTATTTTGTTCAGTATAAATGCATTTTATATTTCCATTTTCAAAGCATTTCAACTGTTTGCTACATTGTGTCCTACTGAACAGCACCAAGGTATAAAGTGTTTGTTTGGTTGTGCAGGCATCCTGGGCTCTCCCACTCCGGACGACCTGAACTGCATCATCAACATGAAGGCCAGGAACTACTTGCAGTCTCTGCCTGAGAAACCCAAAGATCCCCTGGAACAAGCTGTTCCCCAAGGCAGACAGCAAGGGTAGAACACACACACACACACATTATTGCATTACATTATAGTAATTTATCTTACCCAGAGCAACTTACAGTTAGTGCATTCATCTTAAGGTCACTAGGTAAGACCATCACAGTCATAGTAAGTAAAACTGTTCCTCAATAAAGCAGCTATCAGCAAAGTCAGTGCAATGTTTCGTGCAAGAAAGGCAAGTACAGCAGCATTTCTAGTTTTTTTCACACATGTACACATTCTCACATGCATGTACACACACATTCACATGCTAACACACACAAAATGCATACATTCACAGTTTTCACATACATTTGCAAGCATTACATGCATACGCACATACTCACACTTTCCCTTTTCCTAGCTTCACTAGCGGCCCCTGTTCTTCTACTCTGGTGTGAGCTTATGGGAATACCAGCTTTAGGTACACAGAGTAGACTTCAACCTAGTTAAAATGGTGACATTAGGTGTCTATCCTTCCCTTTCATGTGCGATTGTGGTATTTATGGCTAATCTTTTGATTTTGGAAATAACTATCCCTTTAAAGGTCATGAACAGTAAAAATCATGTTTTTCATGAAATTTGATGATATTTGGATGAAACAAGATCGAAGTATGATGACCAAAGTATGAAAATGACTGTTGCTTCTACATTGATAAAGTTGGATCATAAAGTTAGTAGTCCCCTCCCCCATGTCAAACGCTTGGATTCAGGAGGTGGGATTATTAAGGGGATAGGGTGACATCACCCTAACTCATTTTAATACACCAATGGTAATATGATATTCTCTTACCTAATTTAAATAAGTATAGCCTTGTAACCAACATCAGCGAAGGCGTGTTTGCAGAGGGGCGTGGTTTATATAGCTAGATAGTTACTCTACTGGTGCCAAAATGTAACTGTAGGGTGTCGGCAAATATATAATTAAAATTGTACACTATTCATCTATGGCAAGGATACTTGTATGTCTCCCCTTTCATCTGTGTCTGGTGTTAGCTAGCTAGGTCTTCAGCCAGCATGGCACAAAAGGGGTGAATTGCATCCCAAGAGACATGCCAAACATTGATGCAATTTCGATGTTCTTTGAGTTGCTTTGTGTATCACAAAATTAGCTTTAGATGATTTTACTGCAACACTACTCACTGCATCCAAGTTGCTTGACCTAGGTGTTTCAAAGAGCTGTCAGTCTTGGCGAGTTCATGAATGTAAGCTCCCCGCCTACTCAGACGGTCTTTTCAAACTTCCTAATAGTTAGCCATGAGAGGGGGAAAATTCATTTTTCTCAAATGTTGAGCATTTTATATCCAAAACAAATATTATGGGTGATATTTTAGTAACTCAAAAGGCTATTTTACATGGGAATCAGACTGTTCAGGACCTTTAACAACACTTTCCCATCTCTCCCTCCTCTCCTCCCTCCAGCTCTGGATCTGCTGGGCCGCATGTTGACCTTTAACCCTATCAAGCGCATCACGGTAGAGGAAGCCCTGGCTCATCCCTATCTGGAGCAGTACTACGACCCCACTGACGAGGTATGACAGCAGCAGCCTGCCCTCACGTACAGTATTGCCCTCACATACTGTAGTGCCCTGTCCAGAAACAATCAAAGGCCCTTTTCACATATGAAATTCGATACCCTGGTTCAGTTTCCTGAAGCGTTTGAGAATTCTACAAAATAAATAAATATTGGTATGAACATAACATGATTCAACAACTGAGACATAAACTAAACAAGTTCCACAGACATGTGACTAACAGAAATTGAATAATGTGTCCCTGAACAAAGGGGGGGTCAAAATCAAAAGTAACAGTCAGTATCTGGTGTGGCACCAGCTGCATTAAGTACTGCAGTGCATCTCCACATGAGGGAGGAGGATGTCTTCTCTGTAACGCACAGCATTGAGATTGCCTGCAATGACAACAAGCTCAGTCCGATGATGCTGTGACACACCCCCCAGACCATGACGGACCCTCCACCTCCAAATCGATCCCGCTCCAGAGTACAGGCCTCGGTTTAACATTCATTCCTTAGAAGATAAACGCGAATCCGACCATCACCCCTGGTGAGACAAATCCGCGACTCGTCAGTGAAGAGCACTTTTTGCCAGTCCTGTCTGGTCCAGTGACGGTGGGTTTGTGCCCGTAAGCGACGTTGTTGCCGGTGATGTCTGGTGAGGACCTGCCTTACAACAGGCCTACCTCAGTCCAGCCTCTCTCAGCCTATTGCGGACAGTCTGAGCACTGATGGAGGGATTGTGCGTTCCTGGTGTAACTCAGGCAGTTGTTGTTGCCATCCTGTACCTGTCCCACAGGTGTGATGTTCAGATGTACCGATCCTGTGCAGGTGTTGTTACACATGGTCTGCCACTGCGAGGACGATCAGCTGTCCGTCCTGTCTCCCTGTGGCGCTGTCTTAGGCGTCTCACGGCACGGACATTGCAATTTATTGCCCTGGCCACATCTGCAGTCCTCAAGCCTCCTTGCAGCATACCTAAGGCACGTTCACGCAGATGAGCAGGGACCCTGGGCATCTTTCTTTTGGTGTTTTTCAGAGTCCGTAGAAAGGCCTCTTTAGTGTCCTAAGTTTTCATAACTGTGACCTTAATTGCCTACCATCTGAAAGCTGTTACTGTCTTAACTGTTCCACAGGTGCATGTTCATTTAATTGTTTATGGCATGGGAAACAGTGTTTAAACCCTTTACAATGAAGATCTGTGAAGTTATTTGGATTTTTACGAATTATCTTTGAAAGACAGGGTCCTGAAAAGGGGACGTTTCTTTTTTTGCAGAGTTTATGTTGTCACTCCAACTATAGTAATAAAGCCTAATATCGTGCAAGCCATTTTAGCATTTGAATGCTGAAGGTGCTGCGCAGATGTGCAAGATCTGGGAGAGCCCACCTCCCTCCCGTTGGTCAGGGTGTGAGGCTTGGCACAGTGCGCAGGTTGACTGGGCTACTGATAGGCGTATAACGTTTCACCAAACCCACTGTAGCACGGAACTTCTCATATCCCACTCTGGAGTAATGTGATGGGCTGTCACTGCAAAGTAGCCCTGGAAGGCCATTCATACAGTATGTAGTAAGTGCAACACAAGGTGCATTGGACAATTCATTGACCACTTTGGCTTTAGCTTGCTTATACGGAGTGGGTACTACTTGTTTTCTGAAATGGCTGTGGGAAGTTCATAATGTGGCTCAAGCACTTTCACGAGGTGCTGAAACCCCCTATTCTTCTCAACCACTGAGAATGGGTGCATATCCGCGGCTGTTTGAATGCAGAGGGGAGACAAAGGGTTTTATTTTTTTCATTTCAGTTTTGCTCTTGTGGTAGGAATACTGGGGTGACGTCGGCGTGTCAACATGTCAAATCCAATTTTATTGGTGCCATACACATATTTAGCTGATGTTATTGCGGGTGTAGCCATATGCTTGTGTTCTTAGCTCCAACAGTGCACTAATATCTAACAATTCACAACAATACACACACCTAAAGTAAAATAATGTAATTAAGAAATGTAGAAATATTAGGACGAGCAATGTCGGAGTCCGGAGTGTATATGTATGTGATGGGATGTATAGACATTATCGACAGTGTGGGTAGAATATTTAGTATATTTGTAGAATATGAGGATAGAATAGTGTGTATACAGTTGAAGTCGGAATTACATACACCTTAGCCAAATACATTTAAACTCAAGTTTTTCACAATTTCTGACATTTAATCCTAGTAAAGATTCCCTGTTTTAGGTCAGTTAGGATCACCACTTTATTTTAAGAAAGTGAATTGTCAGAATAATAGTAGAGAATTATTTCCAGTGGGTCAGAAGTTTACATACACTCAATTAGTATTTGGTAGCATTGCCTTTTAAATTGTTTAACTTGGTTCAAACATGTCGGGTAGCTTTCCACAAGCTTCCCACAATAAATTGGGTGAATTTTGGCCCATTCCTCCTGACAGAGCTGGTGTAACTGAGTCAGGTTTGTAGGCCTCCTTGCTCGCACACGCTTTTTCAGTTCTGCCCACAAATCTTCTATAGGATTGGTCAGGGCTTTGTGATGGCCACTCCAATACCTTGTCTTTGTTGTCCTTAAGCCATTTTGCCACAACTTTGGAAGTATGCTTGGGGTCATTGTCCATTTGGAAGACCCATTTGCGACCAAGCTTTAACTTCCTGACTGATGTCTTGAGATGTTGCTTCAATATATCCACATCATTTTCCTTCCTCATGATGCCATCTATTTTGTGAAGTGCACCAGTCCCTCCTGCAGCAAAGCACCCCAACAGCATGATGCTGCCACCCCCGTGCTTCACGGTTGGGATGGTGTTCTTCGGCTTGCAAGCCACCCCCTTTTTCCTCCAAACATAACGATGGTCATTATGGGCAAACAGTTCTATTTTTGTTTCATCAGACCAGAGGACATTTCTCCAAAAAGTACAATATTTGTCCCCATGTGCAGTTGCAAACCGTAGTCTGGCTTTTTTATGGCGGTTTTGGAGCACTGGCTTCTTCCTTGCTGAGCGGCCTTTCAGGTTATGTCGATATTGAACTCGTTTTACTGTGGATATAGATACTTTTGTACCTGTTTCCTCCAGCATCTTCACAAGGTCCTTTGCTGTTGTTCTGGGATTGATTTGCACTTTTCGCACCAAAGTACGTTCATCTCTAGGAGACAGAACGCGTCTCCTTCCTGAGCGGTATGACGGCTGCATGGTCCCATGGTGTTTATACTTGCATACTATTGTTTGTACAGATGAACGTGGTACCTTCAGGCATTTGGAAATTGCTCCCAAGGATGAACCAGACTTGTGGAGGTCTGAGGTCTTGGCTGATTTCTTTAGATTTTCCCATGATGTCAAGCAAAGAGGCACTGAGTTTGAAGGTAGGCCTTGAAATACATCCACAGGTACACCTCCAATTGACTCAAATTATGTCAATTAGCCTATCAGAAGCTTCTAAAGCCATGACATCATTTTCTGGAATTTTCCAAGCTGTTTAAAGGCACAGTCAACTTAGTGTATGTAAACGTCTGACCTACTGGAATTGTGACACAGTGAAATAATCGCTCAGTAAACAATTGTTGGAAAAATTACTTGTGTCATGCACAAAGTAGATGTCCTAACCGACTTGCCAAAACGATAGTTTGTTAACAAGAAATTTGTGGAGTGGTTGAAAAACAAGTTTTAATGGCTCCAACCTAAGTGTATGTAAACTTCCGACTTCAACTGTATATACAGCAATAGTTGAATAGGATGGCATGGACTAGAATACAGTATATACATATGAAATGTGTAAAACAGTATATAAACATTATTAAAGTGACCAATGATTCAATGCCTATGTACATAGGGCAGCAGCCTCCAAGGTGCAGGGTTGAGTAACTGGGTGGTAGCCGGCTAGTTACAGTGGCTAAGTACCAGGTGGTGATACAGCCCGACACGATGCTCTGAATGATGCATCTGTAAAAGTTTGAGGGTCTTAGGGGCCAAGCCACATTTCTTCAGCCTCCTGATGGTGAAGAAAGCACAACAGTGCTGTTTGAGGTGTTGGCAGCTGCATAGGCTATTCTCGTTGAGCAGTGGCAACATACTCTCTTTGTCCATTGCCTTTAATCTACTGGGAAGCCAACATTTTCCAAACTGGAGATTTTAAACGATGATGGAGAATCCTCCTGGTTTATCGACCCCACCACTCGCCATTGTACAGAATTAGGTCCCGGCTGTGCATCACAAAAGGACAGTTTGAAATGCGCCAATTAAGATTTTGATTACGATGTTTGCATAGGCTCTAGTTTCAACGGAATAGACTGAAATGTATTTTTCAGCTCAGATTTACTCGAGGCATACAACGCAGCGTAGGCATAGCCTATAGGCCTAGTGTTTTTATATATTTTATTTTAATGTATTTATTAGGGTTCACAGTGCGTACCGAACCGAGGTCCCTGTACCTAACGCTTCGGTACGAATATGTGTACCTTACACCCCTAGTTACTGATATTCCCTAGGGTTGTTCGGCATGCAAAATTACTTTAATTAATGACTGTCACAGTTACATGCTTAGTTCGACACTGAAGGAGAGGACGCATCAGTTGTCACAAAATATGAGATTTTCGGAAGGTAGAAAGAAAGTAATATGAGCAACAACAAAAAATGTGAATCAGCAATTCGGAACGTTTGAATCGATTTTCTGACCGCTGCATTTGGATCGGTTTGGGGTCCGTGGACCGACGCAGTCGTATCTTAAACATTTGAATCAGGGACTGATGCATATCGGTAAATCATTACATCCCTATGGATCATGGTACCAAACGCTCCAGGATCATATGTGAAAGCGCCCTACGGTGTTTATGATTTTGTGTACTGTTTTGAGTGTACTGTAGCCTATTTGTTGTATACTGTTATAAAATATACTGAACAAAAATATAAACGGAACATGCAACAATTTCAATGACTTCACTGAGTTACAGTTCATATAAGGAAATCAGCCAATTGAAATAAATTAATTAGGCCTTAATCTATGGATTTTACATGACTGGGCGGGGGTGCAGCTATGGGTGGGCCTGGGAGGGCATTCCCACTGGGGAACCAGGCCCAGCCAATCAGAAATGTTTTCCCCACAAAAGGGCTTTATTACAGACAGAAATACTCCTCAGTTTCATCAGCTGTCCGGGTGGCTGCTCTCAGACAATCCTGCAGGTGAAGAAGCCGGATGGATGTGGAGCTCCTGAGCTGGCGTGGTTACACGTGGTCTGCAGTTGAGGCCGGTTGGACATACTGCCAAATTCTCTAAAACGACGGAGGTGGCTTATGGTAGAGAAAATAACATTCAGTTCTCTGGCAACCGCTCTGGAGGACGTTCCTGCAGTCAGCATGCCAATTGCACGCTCCCTCAAAACTTGAGAGATCTGTGGCATTGTGTTGTGACAAAACTGCACATTTTAGAGTGGCCTTTTTATTTTCCCCAGCATAAGGTGCACCTGTGTAATGATAATGCTGTTTAATCAGCTTCTTGATATGCCACACCTGTCGGATGGATGGATTATCTTGGTGTAGGAGAAATGCTCGCTAACAGGAATGTAAATACATTTGTGAAAATTTAGAGAAATACGTTTTTTGTACGTATGGAAAATGTCTAGGATCTTTTATTTCAGCTCATGAAACATGGGACCAACACTTTACATGTTGCTTTTATATTTTTGTTCTGTGTATAAACGCAACATGCAACAATTTAAAAGATTTTACTGAGTTACAGGTCATATAAGGAAATCAGTCAACGGAAATGCATTCATTAGGCCCTAATCTATGGATTTCACATGACTGGGAATACAGATATGCATCTGTTGATACCTTTAAAAAAAAAAAAAATGGGGCGTGATCCGAAAACCAGTCAGTATCTGGTGTGACCACCATTTGCCTCATGCAGCGCGACGCATCTCCTTCGCATAAAGTTGATGAGGTTGTTGATAGGGGCCTGTGGAATGTTGTCCCACTGCCTTTCAATGACTGTGCGAAGTTGCTGGATATTGGTGGGAACTGGAACACGCTGTGAGCATCCCAAACATGCTCAATGGGTGACATGTCTGAGTATGCAGGCTGTGGAAGAACTGGTACATTTTCAGCTTCCAGGAATTGTGTACAGATCCTTGCGACATGGGGCCGTGCATTATCATGCTGAAACATGAGGTGATGGCAGCGGATGAACGGCACGACAATGGGCGTGTAATGTGTAATGATCATGCTCATTAATCAGCTTCTTGATATGCCACACCTGTCAGGTTGGTTGGATTATCTTTTGCAAAGGAGAAATGCTCACTAACAGTGATGTAAACAAATTTGTGCACAACATTTGAGAGAAATAAGCTTTTTGTGCGTATGGAAAATTCTGGGATCTTTCATTTCGGCTCATGAAACATGGGACCAACTTTACATGTTGTGTTTGTATTTTGTTCAGTGTAGTATTTTCATTGTTTGTGTGTGTGTGTATAGCCTGTAGCAGAGGAGCCGTTCACCTTCACAATGGAGCTGGATGACCTGCCTAAGGAGAAGCTGAAGGAGCTCATCTTTGAGGAGACAGCCCGCTTCCAGGCCACCTACCAGGGCTCCTGAGATAGAGGTACATCTACATATATACTCACATCACTCCATAACGATTACTAGAGCTTTAAAAAAGATAGGTGGGCATTCTGCTCACGCACGCAGACACTTTTAGCTGTGTTTTTTTGTCATTTTTTATCCTGTTCATTTGTGTTTCAGCTTTGAAGACGAGTGACAAAGGCACACGGAGGCTTGAAACAGGAAGACTCTAAACGACAAGATACAAAAAAGCATATATACAGCATACAAAAAAAAGGACCAGAAACATGTACATTTAACCGTTTTTTTTTTCTTCTTCAATTTCTATCGCGGGAAGCTGTTTTTGGGTGGGGGGGACTGTTGTCTACTTAAAGGAAAGATTCACCCATTTTGAATGTTAGTTTGTTTTTGTGCATATCTGAGTGATGTGCTATTGATTCCCGGGTTATTTAATGTTTTCATGTATATCTGAGCTATTGCCATTCAAGCAGGCAGAAATCCGGACGGTATGTTGTAGCATTGCGATAAAGCCGCTCTCATTACACTGGAAGTTAATAGGAATATGACTTTTAGATCGCAAAAACGTCTATAATGCATGTCAGATTTCGATACTGGCCGATGTCATAACGCTGGAGGTTGTCTGAGCTATCATATTTTTGCGATATTCCTACCTCGAGATGTGTAATGTACACCACATTTCTCCTATTTGTCTGCCTCTTTAGTCCATGGCCGTTGCAAATGTCAGACTCCACTCTGCGAGGCACATCGATCTGCAGGTTAAACATGGTGAGATTGTACACTCCTAAATTGATAGTGCAGTTTGAATAGGCGATTTTACAACCAACTATTTCACATGCTGAGATTGACTCTGGTGTTATTGTGTGTAGCTACATTTGCTAGCTAGCTTGCCAGCCAGTCCATAGAAAGAATTGCATTGTGGGTTTTGTAGTCGACTTGAGCTGCAGCAGATTTCCACAACTATTTTCACGTTGCTACCAACCTTATTATAACAGCAAAATGAAACTGTTCACCAAAAAAAGATTGTTCTCAGTGTTATTTAACACTGTAAATTATAGGAATTAGTGGTTTTGGGTGGATATTTCCTTTAAGTACTACTGCGCTCATTTTAACCACCATCAGGATACTCTTCCCTCTTTCTCTTCTTTTCCTGCTTTTCTGCGTGGAGTGTGTACTGTTTAAAAAGCAAGAACTTAATCTTACTCCCATCTGACCAACTCCATTTACCACTCTCTTCCCTGTGAGCCTATGTTCTCTATTTTTTCCCTCTCTCTGTGAATCTGTGTTCTTTCTTTCCATCTCTTTCTCACTAGTCACAGTATATGTTACTGTATTAACCAACTGTCTGTCTTGCTCCATGGAATTATTGTTAAAAAAGAACAGGAAAAAAAAAAAGGAGATAGACGGGCGCTATTTGGGTGTGTACATATAAATGGTTTTGTTTGAGTGATCTCGTGGCGGTTTGGTTTGTACACCGTTATTTGAATGTTTATAATCCGTCAGGAGTCGTATTTGTATGTTTTGAAGTTTATATTTGAGAATAATTTTTTTGGAACACTGATTTCTAGACATTCTTTACTTGCGAAAACATGCTGGTAGTTTTATATTTCGTTCTCTTTTTGTATTTTTCTTCTTTTCTTTAGAACTATGTATGTTGTTCATCTGAATGAACATGCATACGTTCTTGAAATGTACCAAGGAGGCATGAAATGTACCAAGGAGGCATGGCGTGAGACAGGTGAATGGTTTGAATCGTCTTTGTACTGTAACCCACAGCTGGCTTTCTCCATCCACACTTATTCAAAGAGGACGTCAGAGTTTTCAGATAGAAATACATGGCCTAGAACGGGCACGATTACGTGATTCCCTATTCTATCTATGTTAGTCTCTGACTCACAAACGCCGATCAGCGACATGCCACAGACTCTCATCACTCCTTAAATGGGAGGTTAAGAAAAACTGCCAATCTTTGTTGGAGAGGGGTACCTAATAGTATGTGTCTCTTCTCCCAAAACAAAATGTCACCAAAACCACATTCAAGTTGAAATCAGCCTCCATATTAGAAAAATTCAAATTTCTCCTGTCTCTGCCATTCACCTCTCTCTCTCCTCCCTTGTGTCTGGTATTATTTCAGGGAGGACAGTGGATGTGTAAATACTGTATTTAGTTGTGGAGGGTGGCAGGCAGAATCAGCAGATATACGGCTGATATTTACTTTACGCTTGTGTTAAACTGATAATGGTTGCCACGGTTACGGTGTCTATGGTAATTAGAGTGGCTGATTTGCTCTTTGTTTCCTCCTAATGTGCCGTGTTTCATGGTGGGCGTCGCTCAGAGCTTAACGCATCGCTGTCACATTTTCCACTCACATCTAACAGTGGACCGCTCCATTTTGCCGTAGCACATCCCCAGCCCCTCAGAATCCATAAGCCTCTATTCACGGTAGAGGTGGCCCTATTTTCAGATCTGGGATCAGTTTAGCCTCTCCTAATCCTTACATTTAGCCATTCAAGGAGGCGGAGAGTAAATCTGAGTCCAGGGCTGTGTTCAGTACGTTTTTAAGTTCTGGAACGTTCAATTGAACAGAAACTGTATTGAACGACCAGTTGAAAAACAGGGAGGAGGAACGCTGTCAGCATGGCTACTGCCCTTTTTATGAGCAAACGTACCTCAAAGTCTGTTCAAGAATGTTTTGGGGAAACGTGTCGTTCAGTACAAACCGTTCCGCGACGTAGCAAATGTTAAAGCGAACTGAACGCACCTCTGATCAATCAGTGCATATGGGCAGTATCATCCATTCCACACCCCTCAATTACCAGCCATGCTTTACTCAAAGGGCTTTCCCCCTCAGGTCCCACCCACCTTCCGCTTATCTCGCTTCTGATTGGCCGAGACCTCCCAAACCAAATCCCAGGTTGCGCTGCCATTCGCTTACTCATTTATTTTTATATTTCCTCCTGTACATTTTTGTTTGCTCGTCCCTCTTTTTCACCAAATCATGGATATAAATAAAATCAGATCTGATTCAAAGGGGAGGAGCATTGCTTGAGTGACATCTGTCAGTCATGTTGGGGGAAGAGGGGTTATTCGCGTCAATCATGTGACTCAATCAGCGCACCTGCACTTTGCCACACTGACCAAACTTTTTCCCCTTCTGTTTTTTCTTGTTTCATTTTTTCAACCGTTTTAGTCTTGAGTCAAGACATGGGCCTACTCTTTTGCATTTTTTTTTGCTTTCCATTCTGCTTGCGTATTCTGGGCTGATTCTTCATGGAATCTCACTGGAGCCCATCACACTTTTTGAGTGTGTGCGTGTCGAAAGTGTCTTAACACACATTTGCAGTGGACCACCCTGGTCTGCACTGTTTCGTTGTGTGTGTGTGTGTGTGTGTGTGTGTGTGTGTGTGTGTATAGTCTGTGGTTGAAACACCGCAGACACTACTCCAATCGGCAGTATGTATGTGTCTCTCTGCGTTTGTTTATCTTTTTGAAACGCATTCCAGAGGCTTTCCCCTTCTTTCTATCTGCATGTTTGGATTCTTGTGACTGTCTGTCGTTCTCTGACCAAAAGCTGCTTTACTATCCCCCCCCCCACCAGCGACACGACCCAACTGACCGCCAGTCTCACTGGAGGACCATGCGAATGAACCAACGGGACCATGTTTGCAATACGCAGTCACTCACTTTTTCACAGACACACGCATACACACAAAACACACCACAAATGCACACGCGCACACAATGCATGAATAAAAACATTTCCTTTTTAAATGGCTGTTCTTATTGCTATCATTGTTATTGGTGTGTTTTTTTTTTTTACATAAGGGAGTTACAAAGTTATCTTTTTTGTTTCTCTTATGTGTGTGCTATAACTGGCAGTGTTTTCACTCTTTCTGGAACCTATTTCTCCCCTTTATTCTTTTAAATTAAGATGATATGCCATATGAGTAGGTTGTCAGAGATATGAGCTGTTGAGGGTTATCTTCTATGTATATTCTATGGGTATTATGAATTAAACTATTAACAAAGAAACAAAATTATATACATATAATAAATACAATTCCTGATACTGGTAAACTGTGTTTGTTGATTTTCTTGATGTATGACTTATGGTCTGTTCTTGTTACTACTGCTGAATGGCAGTGTGGATAGCGTTATAGAAATATCTTAGAATAGTAGTGAATTTATGTAGCTGTTAACGTGTCACAACCTGCTTATAAGAGCAATCTCCTCTCTCCTGTTCCAAGCCAAGCTGTCTGTCCGGTTGGACAACTCTTCTTACTCCTCTTCCTCTGCATGTCTCTGCATGCGTTCGGTATTCTCCGACAGGGCTCATCCTCTGTTTACTTCATCAAGGTTTGGGAATAGGTAAAGCAAGGCTAGACTTTAGTTTAATAGCTAATGCAGGATTGAGTGAGAGACTGCATTTGATATACTGGTTGGTTACAGAAGGCAAAGGGCACTAGCATGTCTTACATTTTAGAGTACCTGCTTCGACTGGACCTTGGATTGTGTGTGTGACCTCCGTTGAGGAAGGAATGCTATACTGGGGAGTGAAAGATTATTTCTCTAGCATACATGCTATGTTGTTGCTTCCCTCCGAATAATCTAGTTCAGTCACTCTTGTTTCCTACCTTTCAGCATTTCTATTGATGTAAACAATGCTGTGCTATACAGTGTTCTGCTGAAGTTGCATCCCTGTGTGTGAAAGAGCATTTACATAGCTTTTGACACCTATCCTTTGTTAGGTACACTGTGTGTTTTGTGCCAGTGTGTGTGTGATAACTGAGTTTACATACCCATCCTTTGTTAAATACAAAGTTGCCTGACAGCATCGAAACCTGCCATGCATCAACGCTTGCTCACACGCCCTTTACCAGCCTATACTGTTAGCTCTCTCATATCTGTTGCTAGAGGTAACACCCATTCTGTTATCATTACATTCATATTCGCACCCATAAACGCATGTTATTTGAGGCTTGCTTTTAATGCATTTGATAGCTGCACTTCGTGCAGGATAGTTCCATCATTTTACATGATTACTTTATCGCAGACACAGTGAAAGAGTGAGTGTCTGTGCAACAAAACACAGTAAAGAGAGAGAATAACAATATGCCACAGGGTAGGGAAAGAGAGGGAGAAAAAGAGATGTGAGATGGACTAGTATTTCATTTACTGATTTTACAGCTTTGTGTGGGTCCCAGTGAGAGCGGGAACGAGGGAGAGTGCGAAGAAGATAGGGTTGACTACAAACAGAGCCCAGGGAGGGAAGGAGAGTAGCGCTAGGTGAGGTTATGAGTGCAAGTAATGGGAGTGACACCTTGTAAGAGACCTTGTGACACTTCCTTCGAATGCCTCCTTTGGTCGTACCTGTTTGTCAAGTCCTGTTTTTTTTTTTTACTGTATGAAAGTTGTTACAACATTCTGGTCTAGGCTGACTGGTGACCAATGGACTGACTGAGAGAGAGAGAGAAACCGAGTGATCAGAATAAGGGAAGGCGTAGTGGAGTGGAGGATAGAAAGAGAAAATAATTGTGTGAAAAAGTCGAGTGAAGTTTACAATATGAGCAGGTCAATTCAATGTCTTTAGATGCATTTGAAGAGGATTTGGAGTGGTTCCTTCATCGGTTGTTAGTTACCAGTGTTATGAAGCAGCTCGGCGGGGGATAGCTGAAAATATTCAAGGTATTTTATTACAACTTGCAGAACAAGGGGACTCATCTCTGGCAGGTTTTTTTTCCATCACTTGTAGGTGTCCTATTCATTTACTGTTAGAGGATCCAAGGACGTCTGCCTTTTAATCCTGAGCCTAATTGCCATCGGACACTTTTGAGGACTGTTTTTGGAGGGGAATTGATTATGGCCAGTTCCCTGTACTTTATCCTCCCGGCCCTAGGGGGCTACACCCTGACGTCACTCTACCTGTTGAAGAACCCTCAGATCCTCCACAAGAAGAAACGTGCTGCCTTCCACTGCACCCACATCTCACACAGAGGAGGTAAGGAAGGAACGGTGGAGGGATGTAGTAGTTACCTTGCAGCTTCACCTTTCCTCTGTAACCATTGATGTGAATGGGCTGGACTAGTGAAAGTGGAATGTTTGGAGCCTGTGGTGTAGCTGCAAGCAGGAGTACTGAGTGACTATTGATTTGGCCCACAGTCACACTGTATCTGGATAAATATGTGGCTCTGATCTGAACTATCCTGTAATTTCAAGTCTGTGGGGATCAAGGAAAAGTAGGCTATAGAGTGAGAGTCTTGGAGCTGGATATGACACTGATGTTCTTTGCTTTTCTCCTGATCTGTGTTGGCAGGAAGCGGCGAGAGGATAGAGAGCACCATGGAGGCCTTCACACAGTAAGTGACCAACCCTGACCAAACCTGACTTCAGATCAGTTACAGTGCTTATCATAAGTATTCACCCCCCTTGGATTTCTTCACATTTTATTGTGTTAGAAAGTGGTATTAAAATGGATTTAACTGTATTTTTTTTCAACGATCTACACAAAATACTCTGTCAATATTTTTTTTAAGTTAACGAGTCAATACATGTTAGAAACACCTTTGGCAGCAATTACAGATGTGATTATTTTTGGGTAAGTCTCTAAGAGCTTTGCACACCTGAATTGTGAGATATTTGCCTGTTATTCTTTAAAAAAATCTTCAACCTCTGTCAATTTGGTTGTTGTTCATTGCTAGACACACAGCCATGTTCAAGTCTCGCCATAGATTTTTAAGCAGATTTACAGTACCAGTCAAAAGTTTGGATACACATACTCATTCCAGGGTTTTTCATTATTTTCATTATTTTTACTATTTTCTACATTGTAGAATAATAGTGAAGACATCAAAACTATGAAATAACACATATGGAATCATGTAGTGACCGAAAAAGTGTTAAACAAATGAAAATATATTTGAGATTTGAGATTCTTCAAATAGCCACCCTTTGCCTTGATGACAGCTTTGCACACTCTTGGCATTCTCTCAACCAGCTTCACCTGGAATGCTTTTCCAACAGTCTTGAAGGAGTTTCCACATATGCTGAGCACTTGTTGGCTGCTTTTCCTTCACTCTGTGGTTCAACTCATCCCAAACCATCTCAATTGGGTTGAGGTCGGGTGATTGTGGAGGCCAGGTCATCTGATGCAGCACTCCATCTCCTTCTTGGTAAAATAGCCCTTACACAGCCTGGAAGTGTGTTGGGTCATTGTCCTGTTGAAAAACAAATGATAGTCCCACTAAGCCCAAACCAGATGGGATGGTGTATCGCTGTAGAATGCTGTGGTAGCCATTCTGGTGTGTTTTACGGTGGGAAATACACATGCGGAGATCATCCAGCAATTCGACCATGAAGGCCTGATTCACACAGTCCCCTCTGAACAGTTGATGTTGAGATGTGTCTGTTACTTGAGCTCTGTGAAGCATTTATTTGGCCTGCAATTTCTGAGGCTGGTAACTCTAATGAACTTATCCTCTGCAGCAGAGTTAACTCTGGGTCTTCCATTCCTGTGGCGGTCCTCATGAGAGCCAGTTTCATCATAGCGCTTAATGGTTTTTGCGACTGCACTTGAACAAAACTTTCTTGAAGTTTCGTATTGACTGACCTTCATGTCTTAAAGTCATGATGGGCTGTTGTTTCTCTTTGCTTATTTGAGCTGTTCTTGCCATAATATGGACTTGGTCTTTTACCAAATAGGGCTATCTTTTGTATACCCCCCCCCCTACCTTGTCACAACACAACTGATTGTCTCAAACGTGTTATTAAGGAAAGAAATCCCACAAATGAACGTTTAAGAAGGCACACCTGTTAATTGAAATGTATTCCAGGTGACTACCTCATGAAGCTGGTTGAGAGAATGCCAAGAGTGTGCATAAATGTAATCAAGGCAAAGGGTGGCTATTTGAAAAATCTCAAATACATTTTGATTTGTTTAACACTTTTTTGGTTACTACATGATTCCATATGTGTTATTTCATAGTTTTGATGTCTTCACTATTATTCTACAATGTAAAAATAAAGAAAAACCCTTAAATGAGTAGAGTGTCCAAACTTTTGACTGGTAGCGTAAGTCAAAACTGTAAGTAGGCCACTCAGGAACATACACTCATTGGATGCTGCTGAGGGGAGGACAGCGCATAATAATGTCTGGAATGGAGTCAATGGAGTGATATCAACCACATGGAAACCAAGTCTTTGATGTGATTGATACCAATCCATTTACTCCATTCCAGCCATTATTATGAGCCGTTCTCCCCTAAGCAGCCTCCACTGCATTCACTGTCTTCTAGGTTATTGTCCTGCTGAAAGATGAATTCATCTTCCAGTGTGTGGTGAAAAGCAGACTGAACCAGGTTTCCATTCAGTTAATACTCTCGTTACAACACAACTGTATGTGAGTCATACTCTCACGACTTTGATTGAAGAGCTAAAATCACGCCTGACAATTCTTCTGCTCTTCACCTCGATGTCTGTAGGAACGATTCATGCCACAAACAAACATTTTTGGAACATGAGACTGACTTTTTGCCAACTAAACTGACCCGTTGTTTGCAAACCAATTCGTTATTCTATGGATTGCTTGGCCTGGCTGTAGCAATGAGTACGATGGCTAACATGACCGAAACGATGAAGGCTAACAAACTGGGTTCGGGACCATGCCCAAATGAATAAAAATATATTCACGTTTGTTGTCTTGTATGTGCTCGGTGCATTCTCTGGCTGCCCTCGCTCGAATCAGTTCGTGTGTGGGCCTAGATGACGTTTTCAATAACCGTGGCTTGCCCACGGCTGGCACTGTTCTCCTAGTCCAAGGCACAGGTTCTCTTGACAATTGTGTAGCATTCTTGTGAGGCCTTGACTTCCTCTCCCGGTTGCCTGTACCTCGGCTGAGTCTGAGTTGCAGGACGTGGAGATGGGCTTTGGTCGGAGCAAATGTCTTGTCTGCCTGGTCTTGGTGTATGCGGTAGCTGTCTGCACCCAACCCGGCTCTTGTGCGCTCTGTCGCCGGTTACTGGATGCTACTCGAAGAGAGAGGGCGGCCAGGTTCGGTGGGTACCCCCCGCCGCCTCTGTCTGCCTTGGTCTAGCACCGCTTGCCTCTCTTCCCAGATTCTTTGTTGATGAAGGATCCGGTCCCACTTTGGTGATCCGGTCCTACGTAGACCTTCGAGACCAGGCTAGCTAAACAAGCACTGCATTGCGTGCTAGCCACGTTGGCTAACTCGCCGAGGCGAGCTAGATATTACTTGGTATTCCTGCCTTCCCATGGTGGAGCTGCTTGGGTAGCTCTCTTGTTTAGTATATGTAGAGTTAAGTCATTTGGTTGTTCTAAATGGACCATGCTGCGGTCAAAGAGGCTAGCTAGCTTAGACTAAAAAGCTTCTTGCCTAACGTCGGCTAGGATGTGTAACTTCCGGTGAGTGAAACTTACTAGCTTTCCCCCAGCACCTCCGATGAGGAAGCAGCCCCCGAGCACTTGGCTCAGGTAACTTCCGGAACGAGGATCCTTGGCACGGGTGTGAGTGACCAGTGCGCCCCTCTACAAAAACATTACTGTGACAACAGTGCCCCCACGTTTGGTTATGGTCCAAACAAGGTACTATGTCAGCCCTTGCCAGAGCCCCCGTGCCCCTTAAGTGGTTGGTAGCAGAGTCAAGGGAATTAGCAGGGTTGGACACGACCATGCTATTATCCCACACAAGTCTCTTTGGTGGTCAAAATCTGTCCCAGTCCCGATGGTGGTGTCCCGGCCTTTCAGATGGCACTTCACGGGTGGCTTGCTGTCTGCACCGACCAATGGCGCGCATGCGCAGTGTCACCCTGGATCATGCCAACACTGATGTCGGGGTACAGGCTACAATTTGTTGTGCGTTCCACACGCTTCTGCAGCATCATCATTTCGACATCATCATATCCTCCCGTCTCCAGAAGCAGGCAATCCGAGTGGTTCCTATGTCGAAGATCCAGGACAGCTGGTACGGATGGTATTTCCTGGTTCCGAAAAGGGATGGGACTGTACGTCCCATTCGAGGCCTACGTGCCCTCAGCAAGCACCTCAGAGTCTACAAATTCGGAATGTTCACGAGCCGCCGGCTATTACAGCAGATTGGCTGGTATTACACACATCCATGCTACTGTCACATATTCAGTCTGTAGGCTTCATAAGAAACCAGAAAACAGCCATCTGACTCTCAGCGCATTCCGCTTCTGGGTCTTGAGCTAGACTCACTCACGTATGATGGCGCCAGAGGGGATGGCTGCCATTTTATGGACTCTTAACCAACCGTGCTATTTTGTGTGTTTGTAACTTATTTTGTACATAATGTTGCTGCTACCGTCTCTTATGACCAAAAAGAGCTTCTGGACATCAGAACAGCGATTACTCACCTTGAACTGGACGAATTGGTAAGGAGTCAGCGACGAGTGGCTAATCTGCCTTTGCCATCGATAATATTGGCCAACTTACAATCGTTTGATAATAAAATGGATGAACTACAGGCACGAATATCCTACCAACGGGACATTAAAAACTGTAATATCTTATGTTTCACCCGAGTCGTGGCTGAAAGATGATATGAATAACATACAGCTGGTGGGTTATACACTGTATCGTCAGGATAGAACAGCAGCCTCTGGTAAAATAAGGGGTGGAGGTCTATGTATGTTTGTAAACAACAGCTGGTGCACGATATCTAAGAAAGTCTCAAGGTTTTGCTCGCCTGAGGTAGAGTATCTCATGATAAGCTGTAGACCACACTATCTACCAAGAGTTTTCATCTATATTCTTCATAGCTGTCTATTTACAACCACAAACCGATGCTGGCACTAAGACCGCACTCAATGAACTGTATACGGCCATAAGCAAACAGGAAAACGCTCATCCAGATGCGATGCTCCTAGTGGCTGGGGACTTTAATGCAGGGAAACTTAAATCTGTTTCACCTCATTTCTACCAGCATGTTCAATGTGCAACCAGAGGGGAAAAAAACTCTAGACCACCTTTACTCCACACACAGAGACGCAAACAAAGCTCTCCCTCGCCCTCCATTTGGAAAATCAGACCATAATTCTATCCTCCTGATTCCTGCTTACAAGCAAAAACTAAAGCAGGAAGCAGCAGTGACTCGGTCAATAAAGAAGTGGTCAGATGAAGCAGATGCTAAGCTACAGGACTGTTTTTCTAGCACAGACTGGAATGTGTTCTGTGATTCTTCCGATGGCATTGAGTACACCACATCAGTCACTGGCTTCATCAATAAGTGCATCGATGACATCGTCCCTACAGTGACTGTACGTACATACCCCAACCAGAAGCCATGGATTACAGGCAACATCCGCACTGAGCTAAAGGGTAGAGCTGCCGCTTTCAAGGAGTGGGACTCTAACCCGGAAGCTTATAAGAAATCCTGCTATACCCTCCGACGAACTATCAAACAGGCAAAGCGTCAATACAGGACTAAGATCGAATCGTACTACACCGGCTCCGACGCTCGTCAGATGTGGCAGGGCTTGCAAACTATTACAGACTACAAAGGGAAGCACAGCGGCGAGTTGCCCAGTGACACAAGCCTACCAGACGAGCTAAATTACTTCTATGCTCGCTTCGAGGCAAGTAACACTGAAACATGCATGAGAGCATCAGCTATTCCGGATGACTGTGTGATCACGCTCTCCGTAGCCGATGTGAGTAAGACCTTTAAACAGGTCAACATTCACAAGGCCAGATTACCAGGACGTGTACTCCGAGCATGCACTGACATTTTCAACCTCTCCCTGTCTGAATCTGTAATACCAGCATGTTTCAAGCAGACCACCATAGTCCCTGTGCCCAAGAAGACTAAGGTAACCTGCCTAAATGACTACCGACCTGTAGCACTCACGTCTGTAGCCATGAAGTGCTTTGAAAGGCTGGTCATGGCTCACATCAACACCATTATCCCAGAAACCCTAGACCCACTCCAATTTGCATATCGCCCCAACAGATCCACAGATGATGCAATCTCTATTGTGCTCCACACTGCCCTTTCACACCTGTCATTTTGGGGTATTGTGTGTGTATATGGGTGAGATTATTAATTTTTTTAATCCATTTTGAATTCAGGCTGTAACACAACTAAATGTGGAATAAGTCAAGGGGTATGAATACTTTCTGAAGGCACTCTAGGTCCATTATAAACAGTTTTGATTTGGTTGATTTTTGTATTTTTACTCAAACCACCCTCAGGCCGGATTGGACCCCCTCGTGGGCCGGATCCGGGCCGTATGTTTGACACCCCTGACCTAGATTCAATCAGATCAAGCATTAACCCACGCTAACCGACACCCGCATAGCTGGTGTTTTGGCTGTGTCAGAGCCGGGAACTGCATTGGAGCTGTCAAATCGGTGAACAGCTGCTCGTGTGGTCATTGTCACAAAGCCACACCCGTCCCACTCACATTAGAAGTTCAGAACTAGAAAGTGTAGGCTATATAGATATAATGAAACTCAAATTGAAAATCATTCAACAAAACGTTTCAGCCTAATCGATGTGTAGATTGTATCACAGTGTTGGAACTTGTAAACATGGCTACATGGGATTTCTACTAATGTGCCAATGTCCGCAATAAGTATGATGCCGGGAGCCACTGATTGACTCTAACGCAGTTCCACCTAGGACACCGTCAAAACAACAGCTAAGTGGGTGTTTCATCCCCCCCCCCCCCCCCCCAGTGCGGTGGAGCAGGGTACTGGTATGCTGGAGCTGGACTGTCACCTGACTCGGGACGGTCATGTGATCGTGTCACATGACGAAAACCTCCTGAGGCAGACCGGCCATGATGTCACCATCTCCTCCCTAAACCTAGAGGTCAGAGGTCAAATGTATATTAAAACCATATAAATAGAATGTAAAACTCCCTGTGATTGTTGCTTGAGCGCTCTTTATATTACCATAGCTATTCTGACCATAATGTGTATGTATTATAATGTGTATACATGTAGGCCCCCTTTATAATCTTTTCCATAAGCTGTTTATGAGCTTTTATAAGCTGTTCTATACAGCTTATTAAGCCAGTAGTGAGACAGTTCATTCATTTTGTAGTATAAAATACTAATTGTGTTTTCTTTTCAGGAGTTACCCCTGTATAAGGACAGACTGGAGGTCACGTTCTATGCAGGTATCTACTGTAGCACATACACTCTATGGCCAAAAGTGGTCGTCGAACATCTCATTCCAAAATCATAGGCCTTAATATGGAGTTGGTCCCCCCTTTGCTGCTATAACAGCCTCCACTCTTCTGGGAAGGCTTTCCACTAGATGTTGGAACATTGCTGCGGGGACTTGCTTCCAATCAGCCACGAGCATTAGTGAGGTTGGGCACTGAAGTTGGGCGATTATGCCTGGCTCGCAGTCGACGTTCCAATTCATCCCAAAGGTGTTCGATAGGGTTGAGGTCAGGGCTCTGTGCAGGCCAGTCAAGTTCTTCCACACCGATCTCGACAAACCATTTCTGTATGGACCTCGGTTTGTGCACGGGGGCATTGTTATGCAGAAACAGGAAAGGGCCTTCCCCAAACTGTTGCCACAAAGTTGGAAGCACAAAATTGTCTAGAATGTCATTGTATGCTGTAGCGTTAAGATTTCCCTTCACTGTAACTAAGGGGCCTAGCCCGAACCATGATAAACAGCCCCAGGCCATTATTCCTCCTCCACCAAACTGTACAGTTGGCACTATGCATTCGGGCAGGTAGCATTCTCCTGGCAACCGCCAAACCCAGATTCATCCGTCGGAATGCCAGATGGTGAATTGTGATTCATCACTCCAGAGAACGCGTTTCCACTGCTCCAGAGTCCAATGGCGGCGAGCTTTACACCACTCCAGCCGACGCTTGACATTGCGCATGGTGATCTTAGGCTAGTGTGTGGCTGCTCGGCCATGGAAACCCATTTCCCGACAAACAGTTCTTGTGCTGATGTTGCTTCCAGAGGCAGAGTGTTGCAACCGAGGACAGACTGTTTTTACGCACTACCACTTCAGCACTCTGTGGTCCCGTTCTATGAGCTTGTGTGGCCTTCCACTTGGCGGCTGTGCCGTTGTTGCTCCTAGACGTTTCCACTTCACAATAACATCACTTACAGTTGACCTGGGCAGCTCTAACAGGGCAGAAATTTGACAAACTGACTTGTTGGAAAGGTGGTATCCTATGGCGGTGCCACATTGAATGTCACTGAGCTCTTCAGTACGGGCCATTCTACTGCCAATGTTTGTCAATGGAGATTGCATGGCTGTGTGCTTGATTTTAAATACCTGTCAGCAACGGGTGTGGCAGAAATAGCCAAATCCACTTATTTGAAGGGTGTCCACATACTTTTGGTGATGTAGTGTATGTCTCGATCAGACCGACAGCGTCATTGCATCAATGCTACGTAATAAATTCAATATTAAAACGTATTTAATTATGTAATCCAACGTTTTTTGTGGCTATGTGTGCAACAAAAGTTCAACATTCACCTTTTGCAACTATTTCTGTCAAGTCTAAGCATACCATTTTATGTATACGTTGCACCATACAGAACACACTGCAACTGCCTCTGCAACGCAATGCTGCAAGGCAAATGTAGCATTCCATTGGAAATTAATGTACTTCTGGTGTACCAAAATGGAATGACGCTGTCGGTCTAATCGAGGTAATACACACACAGAGACACACACCCTGAATCATCCACCATACTTCTCTGACAGAAGTGGGTCGATGGCATAGACAAATGCTCCTTGTGAAGTTTCGCACCAATGTGTGCATGCGTATGTATATTCACTGCCCCACCCTTCTCCCTCCCATCCTCTCCCTTTCTTCCCTCTGTTCCCACACCAGGCCGCTACAGCACCGGTACAGACAGGAAGTTCACACTGTTGGAGGAAGTGTTCAGGAAGTTTCCTAAGATGCCAATCAACATCGAGATCAAAGAGGACAACAGCTTGCTGATGGAGAAAGTACAGGACTAAGCTGAATTGAATCAAATCCAACTTTCAACTTTACATTGTTTTAAAGTGACCCAACTGAGCTGAATCCAATTAAATTCAACTTTATTTACAGAATATACTTTATTAATATAGCTGCGAGCAGCAATGAACGGGGTTCACAGCATTACAGAAAGGACACAAGATAGTTGGATAACAAAGCAAGCACTCTATCATGTAGGAACTATCTTCCTTTATGTGCAATCAGTGAAAGCATTACCATGGTTATCTCTCAATACCACAAGGATCTATTGTCCCACCAACTGGTCTAGTGCAGCAATCTAAGGTTACAGTGACTTTATAGTCACACAGCTTCTAAGGACATATACATAAGGTTTACATACCAAATTTCATGGCCCCATGTCCATCGGTTCAGTTCTTATAGCCTTGGTGTGATATGGTGCCATCTAGTGGTGTAATGTGGCCGTCTTTGAATGCAGCAACTAATCATTCTCCAATTCATTAGAGGCTAATTCATTGAGTCTATACCAAATCTGGAGTCAATCTGATTTATGGTTCGTGAGAAGAAGATTTTAAAAGTATTTTTAGCATTAGCATATGTGCTAACGTGTATTTATAGGTACAGTGCAGCCATATTTGAATGCATATGGTTCATGAGGAGAAGATGATTGCAGATGATTTTGAGCATAAGCGTTACATATGCAGAATTAGTTGTTAATAGTTTCTTTGTATTTTGAGATATCAATACCAATTTCAGTGTGGTTCATCTTAGAGACGTCCATGATAGCAGTTCCAAGTTGATAGGCCATTGTGATGTGGATTTACAAAGGATTTAAATGGACATGTAAACTCTGATTTTTGATTTGTCATTAACTCAGCCATCTCTTAACCAATCCCTTAGCTTGGTGTTATTTGGACTTATTGTTCATGAGAATACGTTTTTCATAGGTTTTCCAAAATTCCCAAGATGGATGAAAAAAATATCCTGATGGGGCCTTATGGGTCCTTGAGGCAAATTTGTTCAGCATGAGGAAAGACATCTAGGTCAAACGGGGCGGCGGATATGAGGGTTTAAGTGAGACCGCTTATAACAGTGCCACCTATAGGCCAATCGGTACCATTCCTTTTGACCAATTTTACTCATGGTCTCTAGTTTCTGTGTGCCAAATTAGAAAAAAAGTTACCAATCTATGCTTCAGTTATTTGACCATGTCAAGGAAATAATTATCTAAGAATAACCATGGGTTTCACAGCTTTGCTGAATGGCTAAGTCACAGACAACGAATAACTCCTCTCTCCCTTTCTGCCCCGGTCTCCAAACGTCTCTCTTCCGTCTCTCTCTTCCATTTCTCTCTCTCTCGCTCTCTCTCTCGCTCCATACCTTCTTCTGTCTCTCTCAGGTGTCCAACATGGTGAAACAGTATGATAGAGAGGACCTCACAGTGTGGGCGACTGTAGACTCTACCATTATGAAAAAGTGCTGCAGAACTGTAAGTGTCAACTAGGGGGAAATACAACAGGGACTCCAACTCCTATCCTAGGGAGAGATTTTTTTATTGCACTCTCTCAACCCACCCTCTCTCTCTTCCCTGTCCCTCCTGCTCTCTTCCATCCCGGTTCCTCTATCTCTCCTCTCACCACTCTCCTCCCCCCTCTCTCTCCTTGTAGAACTCCACCATGCCCTATAGTTTCAGTATGAGACGAGGGCTGCAGCTGCTCCTCCTTTACTACAGCGGCCTGCTGCCCTTTGTACCGCTGGGAGAGAGCTTCCTGCAGTTCTACCTGCCCCGCATTATCAACAGGTGTGTGTGTATGCGCGTGCGAGCATTTGTGTTTTTTTTGCGTATGGGTTCCAAGGTTAATGTGCTGATACAGTACCTATCTGACTTCGCCATCATCTGACTTCGCCATCATCTGACTTCGCCATCATCTGACTTCATCATCTGTTATGGGTGTGTGTGGTCACATGTTTATCTTTGAGTATAGGTGCACACGGATGTGTGGTGACATAGAGCTTTCTATTGTTCTATCTGTCTGGCAACCCTGTGTGTGTGTGCGTGCGTGTGCGTGTGTGTGTGCATGTGTGTCGTAAATTGTAACTGTATCATCTAATCTCATTCTATTTGGTGCAGGACATATATTCCTGAGGAGCGTCTTCTGAAGAACAGAATGGTCATCTATCTGATAGAAAAGTAGGTACATTTACTACAGTAACAAAGCAGTTCCCTTTCCCTACTAAAACAAAAGACCATATACAAGCTTTGATAAAAGATTAAACCATCTGCAAATGTTTAATGTTGTTCCAGATTAACAATGAGGAAGAGTCTATTCAAACATCTGGTCAACAGAGGAATTCAGGTACAGAGCAACCATCATCATCATTATCATCATCATTACTATTATCATCTTTATCATCATTTTCGTTACTGCCATCACTTCCTAGCACCTTCTGCTAACTTCTACCGCTTCAGTATGTCATGGCCCTTCAGTAGGCTCAGCAGAGCTCCTGTTACATCCCAATTTCACTTATCTAGCCCTTTAAGAACTGTAGACACTGAGGGTGTAGGGCAAGGGGCAAACATAGGAGGGGGTCCAATCCAGTCCGATTTTAGTGCAATTTCTCTGTTATACTGATCTATAATGGGCTTTTGGATGATCAGTGGGCAACGGCCGGCCCCCCTACCAAGATGGGTCGTCCCGGTTTTCTGATAGACTGAGGTCACGCAAACTCACATTCAAAGTAAAACGCGGCATCAGCAAAGAGACCTGCTCCGACTCTGTCATCAGTTAGATAGCCAAGATCATGGGTCGTAAAAAACGGAAAGGGTGCCTATAAACGTAGAAAGAGCACATTCTACATTGTCACCTCACTCAAAACGTCCTATTATTTGGCCAGCTAAAACCATGATTTGGTCAAACAGTAAAGTGCATTATCCTCATGATTCCTGTAATGAAAGTGTCTGCCCTCCCAATGTGCATGTGCCCTCGCTGGGGCCTGCTGCTGCGATGAGTGATATGGCTCTCCCCCCATGCGCTCGAGAGAAAAATGCTTTCTAAACGTAGAACAACCTTCGTCTCCTTGTTCATGTCGAAGAGAGGAGGGTCTCAGCTTTCTGTAGGTATAATTATTTATTTCTCAACTCTCAATATTTAGCTCAATCGCAACTATTTTACAACCAAGATATTTGATATGGCTTTGAGATATGGAGCTCATGGGTAGTAGCCTAAAACTGCGATGTTTTTTTAGCACATAACATTTACTGTTGGATGAATACATGGCTACTAGCAGTGGGTATTATATTTAGAGTTAGAAATGTAGTTAATGTGCTTTTTTAGTAGTTTCCACTTCTTCAGGTGTTGAACCCCACATTAATTAGCCAATGATATTAGTTAGTGCACATAAACATGTATGTAATTCGTCTCTATTGAATAAAAATAAATCTGGAAATACTGGAGTTAAACCCCAAATTCATGACAATCACTGGATTAGCACATAAAAATAATATGAAACATGCATTCCTGCGTGGACGTGAATACCTCAGTAGTCTATTTATTATACTTCTTAATAAAGCACTACGAATGACTTTATAAGATGATTACTCGTGATTTGGGTCTGGAGGCCTGTTATATAAATGAATAGGGTAGGTGTTGATTCAGGGGAACACATATGATAAGCGCTCATTTGCAATATAGCCTAAGGCCTAGATTCAATCAGATCAAGCGTTAACCGGCGATAGCTGCACTGCTGATGTTTTGGCGGTGTCGGAGGTGTAACAACGTTGGAGCTGTCAAATCGGTGAGCAGCTGCTCTTGATTATTGTCACAAAGCCACACCCGTCCCACTCGCGTTAGAAGTTCAGAACAAGAAAGTGTAGGCTATATAGAAATATTGAAAATCATTAAACAAAATAATGAGGATTTCTATCAGCCTAATCGAAGTGGCGCAGTGGTCTAAGGCACTGCATCGCAGTGCTAGCTGTGCCACTAGAGATCCTGGTTCGAATCCAGGCTCTGTCGTAGCCGGCCACGACCGGGAGACCCATGGGGCGGCGCACAATTGGCCCAGCGTCGTCCAGGGTAGGGGAGGGAATGGCCGGCAGGGATGTAGCTCAGTTGGTAGAGCATGCCGTTTGCAACGCCAGGGTTGTGGGTTCGATTCCCACGGGGGGCCAGTATGAAAAAAAAAAAAAGTATGTATGCACTCACTAACTGTAAGTCGCTCTGGATAAGAGCGTCTGCTAAATGACTTAAATGTAAATGTAAATTAACATCTCAAATTCCAGTGTTTTAAATTATAAACAAGGCTGCATGGGATTTCTCTTAATGCGACTCCGTGCAGCCAATGGCAATGTCTGCTTTAGGTATAATGCCAGGAGCTGCTTGTGGATTTGACAGTTCTAACACAGTTCCACCTCCAACATCGCCAAGACAACCGCTATGCGGATGTTGGCTAAAGCAGAAGAAGCACAGAGTAACAGCAGAGAAGATGCTGAGACAGATAGACACACAACAGGGAGGCAAACAAAATAGCTAGAGCGGAGGCACAGTTATAGTGGTGAGTTGTATCTCCAGTGGTGCTTTTACATATTGTATTTGTTTTAAACATGAACTGGTTAAAAAAGAGGAGGAGGACCATATTTTGCCAGTCACTGGTACAGAAATGGTTGAGAAACGCTGTACTTTACTGTCAATGTTATGTGTCAGCACTACTGCCTGTGTCTAAGTCTAACTCACAGTGGATGCGAATGTCAGACAGAAGACTCAAGCCTGGTGTAGATGTACAGTTGAAGTCGGAAGTTTACATACACCTTAGCCAAATACATTTAAACTCAGTTTTTCACAATTCCTGACATTTAATCCTAGTAAAAATTCCCTGTTTTAGGTCAGTAAGGATCACCACTTTATTTTAAGAATGTGAAATGTCAGAATAATAGTAGAGAGAATGATTTTATATCAGCTTTTATTTCTTTCATCACATTCCCAGTGGGTCAGAAGTTTACATGCATTCAATTAGTATTTGGTAGCATTGCCTTTAAATTGTTTAACTTGGGTCAAACGTTTCGGGTAGCCTTCCACAAGCTTCCCACAATAAGTTGGGTGAATTTTGGCCCATTCCTCCTGACAGAGCTGGTGTAACTGAGTCAGGTTTGTAGGCCTCCTTGCTCGCACATGCTTTTTCAGTTCTGCCCACACATTTTCTATAGGATTGAGGTCAGGGCTTTGTGATGGCCACTCCAATACCTTGACTTTGTTGTCCTTAAGCCATTTTGCCACAACTTTAGAAGTATGCTTGGGGTCATTGTCCATTTGGAAGACCCATTTGTGACCAAGCTTTAACTTCCTGACTGATGTCTTGAGATGTTGCTTTAATATATCCACATAATTTTCCTTCCTCATGATGCCATCTATTTTGTGAAGTGCACCACCAGTCCCTCCTGCAGCAAAGCACCCCCCACAGCATGATGCTGCCACCGCCGTGCTTCACAGTTGTGATGGTTTTCTTTGTCTTGCAAGGCACCCCCTTTTTCCTCCAAACATAATGATGGTCATTATGGCCAAACAGTTCTATTTTTGTTTCATCAGACCAGAGGATATTTCTCCAAAAAGTACGATCGTTGTCCCCATGTGCAGTTGCAAACCGTAGTCTGCCTTTTTTATGGCGGTTTTGGAGCAGTGGCTTCTTCCTTGCTGAGCGGCCTTTCAGGTTATGTCGATATAGGACTTGTTTTACTGTGGATATAGATACTTTTGTACCTGTTTCCTCCAGCATCTTCACAAGGTCCTTTGCTGTTGTTCTGGGATTGATTTGCACTTTTCGCACCAAAGTACGTTCATCTCTAGGAGACAGAACACGTCTCCTTCCTGAGCGGTATGACGGCTGCGTGGTCCCATGGTGTTTATACTTGCGTACTATTGTTTGTACAGATGAACGTGGTACCTTCAGGCGTTTGGAAATTGCTCCCAAGGATGAACCAGACTTGTGGAGGTCTACAATTTTTTTTCTGAGGTCTTGGCTGATTTCTTTTGATTTTCCCATGATGTCAAGCAAAGAGGCACTGAGTTTGAAGGTAGGCCTTGAAATACATCCACAGGTACACCTCCAATTGACTCAAATTATGTAAATTAGCCTATCAGAAGCTTCTAAAGCCATGATATCATTTTCTGGAATTTTCCAAGCTGTTTAAAGGCACAGTCAACTTAGTGTATGTAAACTTCTGACCCACTGGAATTGTGATACAGTGAATTATAAGTGAAATAATCTGTCTGTAAACAATTGTTGGAATAATTACTTGTGTCATGCACAAAGTAGATGTCCTAACTGACTTGCCAAAACTATAGTTTGTTAACAAGAAATTTGTGGAGTGGTTGAAAAACAAGTTTTAATGACTCCAACCTAAGTGTATGTAAACTTCCGTCTGTGATAGGGTCTGGGCAGTGGCTGATAGGGTCTGGGCACCACTCCCCCCATGGTGGGGGGGTGAGTTGGTGGCACGAGCAGTGGTGTGGGCTGGTGTGGATAAAATGCCTGGGCCGAATTCTTGTCCCAGTCCACCCCTGCGGCCCAGCTCACTAATAATCACCTAAATGAAAGCTAGACAGTCAGGGAGCATCAGAAATTCCAAAAACGATGAATAGAGGACTATTCATAGCAAATGTTGACGGCAAGGACCAATTTTCTGTGCGGCGCTCTTGAACTTGTTGAAGACCGAATGTGCCCCCGGGTCAAAATGAGTTTGACACTCCTGGTGAAGGGACAGGTGACTGAAATAGAACCAGGGTCATGTTAATTTGAGAACAGCGTAGAAAAACGTTGCGCAACAAAAAAGGAAATTGAGCGTTTCTCATTGAATATTCAGATATTTTAACTCCCTGTTTCACTTTGTTTTGGACAATTTTCTTTTGTTTTGTACCTAATGAATATGACCCAGCCCTCACTCATATCCACCCACATTAAAAAATACTATAGTAATTATTGTAGTGTTTTTGCGGATTTTAGTATACTAGTAATCACTTAAGTGTTTTTGCAGAATGTACTATACTGTAGTATTTACGGTAGTGTTTTTGCAGGCATTACTACTAAAAGAGCATATTTTCCATAACCCGTAGGTAGGTAGGTAGGTAGGACTGGGGTCTGAATGAATAGTTCAGAGCTGCTGCTCTTTTCTATAACCTGTAGGGAACACAATATATGGTCTATACTTAGCATGTAGGTTTCTCACTTACAGTGCATTCGGAAATTATTCAGACCGCTTCACTGTTATGTTACAGCCTTATTCTAAAATTGGTTAAATAGTTTTTTCCCCCTCATCAATCTACACACAATACGCCATAATGACAAAGCAAAAACAGGTTTTTTGATATGTTTGCAAATTTCACATTTACATAAGTATTCAGACCCTATGCTATGAGACTTGAAATTGAGCTCAGGTGTATCCTGTTTCCATTGATAATCCTTTAGATGTTTCTACAACTTGACTGGAGTCCACCTGTGGTTAATTCAATTGATTGGACATGATTTGGAAAGGCACACACATGTCTATATAAGGTCCCACAGTTGATAGTGTATGTCAGAGCAAAAACCAAAAAGTGAAGGGGCCTAAATACTTTCTGAATGCACTGTATGGGTGGCACAAAATGGGATATGGGGGAGGGGAATGGGCATGTATTTATGCAAATTAAATACTGTAGTTCCTCAATATCTCTTTGAAGTCACATAGATCACATCATTACGCTCTTTTTGTTTACAAAGCCGTGCTCCACAGACTTCAGACTTACCTAACATCACTGTTAAGATTTAAAATAACTAGTTATCAAACCCTTTCACAGGTTTGGTTAACTCTGGAGACTCCTTTGGTGTCCAGAGTTAGGTAAATCAGCCTTTAATTTCTTTGCACCTTACTTGTGGAATGACCTACAATACACTTTAACATTTGAGGAATTGGTGCCTCAATGGCATTTCAGACTGTTGTTAGGGGACCTTTTTACTGAGGAATGTGTCTGTTTTTTATGATTGTGTTTTTCTTTTCGTGTATTGTTGTGTATAATAACGTGTATTTTATTGTGTATATTAATGTGTAGTTTAATGTGTTTATTGTATTTTGATGTGTATTGTGGTGCTTATACAGGGCTCATCTGGAAAGAGACGTTGGTCTCAGCATTGACTCTCTGTCAAAATAAAGGTTAAATAAAAAAATAGTATTCTCTATAGTGTTTTTGCGGACTGTAGTGTTTCTGCGGACATTACTGTAGTATTTACTACAGTGCTTATTTTTGCGGATAATACTGTAGTATTCACTATATTATTCTACAGTATACTACAACATTCTAAAGTAAAAGTACTACACATTATCAAGGGATACTACAGTGTACGTCTGGCCCTATCTGTCCTCAGGTGCACCTGTTCGTCTGCAACGAGGATCCGGACATCGAGGCGGCGTTCGAAGCAGGAGCCACAGGCGTCATGACAGACTACCCCACCCTCTTGACTAACTACCTACACAGACACAGGAATCAAGATTGACAGCCCAAACCTCCAATCAAACTACTGATTCCCAAACAGGGTTCTTGACTGCAGCTCAAGCTACCTATCAAGAGACCTCCACGCGTACGTTGTTTATCACTGAAAGAACCACACTGAAATCACAATTTTCCTTCACAACTCCGGTCTCCACCAATGAGCAAAAGGACCGTTCTGTGAGGAAGTTGCCTGAAAAGCACAGATCCAAGACCAGCGTAACCTTCCCAAATCCCAACCTTAACCAAGAGGGAAAAACATAAAACCAACCTCTGATCAATGTCTTTAGGCAACTTCATTCCATCAAAAAAATTAATAATAATAATAATAATAAAAAAATCTTTATAAATAAATAAAAAATACAACAAGAAAGATAATAAAAAAATACATAAAATAAGATAATAAAAAAAAGGGAGGCACTCACTAACTGTAAGTCGCTCTGGATAAGAGCGTCTGCTAAATGACTAAAATGTAAAATGTAAATCTACACAAAAGGATGTCACTACACTTACTGTCTTTTGGTTAATGGATTGTGGCCAAATATTGACACACTGTTCACCTCTCTCTGCAACCTCTCTACAGCCTTCCCAAACCCTAATGGATCTATCAGTGGCTGTCTGGATGTTTTCTTTAATTCTATATCCTTGACGTTCTCTCATGGTATTATGATATTTACATAATGGAACTTACTTTTGGGGTCTTTATGACAGGCTATACAAATTGTATGTTTATCAATGCAAAGATGATTTAAATAAATACTTGTATAGTTTTAAGCGTTCTCAAGACCAGCCTCCATTTGTTTATACCACCGGAAAATAACGGCTTCCAACACACAGTATTTACTTGCTTCAATTCCTAATTCTCTCAGCCCAGGCCATGGTCAAAGTCTGCTCACGATTCTTAACAATAATCTACCAGCCAGTCCGGTCCCAGTGGGAAACAAAGGCTGCACTTTCCTGACCTGGTTCACTGTGTGTTGCATGCAGTATAAAAAATAGGTTAATGGAATAAGTGGATGAATTCAAACACAACTCTTTAGAGACGTGGTAAAAGATTAAGACCTTGTCCTTTAGACTTCGGAGAAATAGGGCTTCTGTGACGCACGCAGCAGCTACAATGAATAAGAGCTGGAAACACAGGGCACTGGACTGGTTCATCTAAATCTAGATAAGAATATCAGACTTGAGAGTTGAGTACAAGTCAGACCTTTAGCTAATGTAATTTTCTAATCGTCTAATAAAGTTTGATATACATGGTGGGATAAATATGTATTTTTATTTTGGGGTGTAAATAATGGCAGTGGCAACATGGTTATATAAATAAATATTGAGACCAACAAGGTTTGGTTTAGTTTTTCATGTATAATGATTTCATTCTGTTTTTAGAACAATCATTTCCCCTAGAGTTGCATTTTGCTCCATTGTTTTCATTTTTGTTGGTGTCTTTATGATGGTATGCCCATCTAACAGTGGCTTTATTAGTAGGCCTACATTTAATAGTCCTACAGTTATGAGTTATTATGTAATGTAGCAAGTACAGTGGGGAAAAAAAGTATTTAGTCAGCCACCAATTGTGCAAGTTCTCCCACTTAAAAAGATGAGAGAGGCCTGTAATTTTCATCATAGGTACACGTCAACTATGACAGACAAATTGAGGAAAAAAAATCCAGAAAATCACATTGTAGGATTTGTAATGAATTTATTTGCAAATTATGGTGGAAAATAAGTATTTGGTCACCTACAACCAAGCAAGATTTCTGGCTCTCACAGACCTACCATCAGTAACACACTACGCCGCCAGGGACTCAAATCCTGTAGTGCCAGACGTGTCCCCCTGCTTAAGCCAGTACATGTCCAGGCCCGTCTGAAGTTTGCTAGAGTGCATTTGGATGATCCAGAAGAGGATTGGGAGAATGTCATATGGTCAGATGAAACCAAAATATAACTTTTTGGTAAAAACTCAACTTGTCGTGACTGGAGGACAAACAATGCTGAGTTGCATCCAAAGAACACCATACCTACTGTGAAGCATGGGGGTGGAAACATCATGCTTTGGGGCTGTTTTTCTGCAAAGGGACCAGGACGACTGATCCGTGTAAAGGAAAGAATGAATGGGGCCATGTATCGTGAGATTTTGAGTGAAAACCTCCTTCCATCAGCAAGGGCATTGAAGATGAAACGTGGCTGGGTCTTTCAGCATGACAATGATCCCAAACACACCGCCCGGGCAACAAAGGAGTGGCTTCCCAAACACACCGCCCGGGCAACTGGAGTGGCCTAGCCAGTCTCCAGATCTCAACCCCATAGAAAATCTTTGGAGGGAGTTGAAAGTCCATGTTGCCCAGCGACAGCCCCAAAACATCACTGCTCTAGAGGAGATCTGCATGGAGGAATGGGCCAAAATACCAGCAACAGTGTGTGAAAACCTTGTGAAGACTTACAGAAAACGTTTGACCTGTGTCATTGCCAACAAAGGGTATATAACAAAGTATTGAGAAACTTTTGTTATTGACCAAATACTTATTTTCCACCATAATTTGCAAATAAATTCATAAAAAATCCTACAATGTGATTTTCTGGATTTTTTTTTCTCATTTTGTACCCATGATGAAAATTACAGGCCTCATCTTTTTAAGTGGGAGAACTTGCACAATTGGTGGCTGACTAAATACTTTTTCCCCCCACTGTATATGGGACGGCTGTCAATCCTTTGGTCCTTAAATTAAACTGGAATACTTTGTTATTTATCACAGTTTTCTTTAACCAATTACGTTCTTTAATGCAAAGCTGACAGACATGTTCCTTACATTTTCCCCTTTCCACTTTCCTCTTACATTTTTGCGGTAATGCTGCAATTATTTGGTTGTAATTTTGGGTAGAGCAGACATTTCCATATGTTTTTGTTAGCTGCATGTGCGACACAACTCCACCAGTCCTACCAATGATATAATTTACGAAGATTATACCTTTTTTAAACATTTTGTCAAAAGAAAAATGTTTTTTATTAATTAGTATATTTGAGTTTAACCACAATATTTGTTGCATTATTTGTTCTGTCGTATCTGGAGGATTACATTGAAATTGCAACCAACTTTCGATGGCTTGTTTTAGAAATAGTGATATTTGGGAGATGATTTCCTTTTCAAATAACTGAAATTGTGAGGTTGTAATCTGAATAAAGGGAAAGGGGCCATTCTTGAATATTGGGTGAGACAATCTTACTAATTTGTTCGGATTTAAGTATAACTTTTGAATGACTGAAGCTTTTAGTGATAGGTCTAATGCTTTAATATTTAATCATTTCTGTCCTCCGAATTCATATTCATTATATAAATAGGCCCGATGAATTTTGTGTGGCTTGCCGTTCCAAATAAAATGGAATATTATTTTCTCATATAATTTAAGAAACTGTTCGCTAGGCGTAGGCAAGACCATAAGCAAATAGGTAAACTGGGATAATACTAAAGAGTTAATCAAGGTGATTTTTCCACAAATTGACAGGTATTTACCTTTCCATGGTAGCAAGATCTTATCTATATTTGCTAACTTTCTATTAAAATGTATTGGAGTGAGATCATTTATTTATTTTGGGATATGTATTCCGAGTATATCCACATCACCATCAGACCATTTTATTGGTAAACTACATGGTAATGTAACATTTTAATTTTTTAGTGATCCAATACGTAATATAGTACATTTATCATAATTTGGTTGTAATCCAGAGAGGTTAGAAAATGTATCTAGATCCTCTATGAGGCTGTGGAGGGATTCAAGTTGTGGATTTAAAAGAAAACATGAATCAATGACACTTTTGTTTTTAAGCCCTGGATTTCTAATCCTTTGATATTATTGTTGGATCTGTTTAAATAGCTAACATCTCGATGGCCATAATAAATAGATATGCCGATAGTGGACAACCTTGTTTCACTCATCTTGACAGTTTAAAACTTTGAGAAATAGCCATTATTTACTATTTTATACCAAGGGTAATTATAGATGAGTTTAACCCATTTCATAAGAGATACTCCAAAATTGAAATGCTCCAGGCATTTATATTTAAACCACAGTCGTACTTATCAAATGCCTTTTCGAAGTCATCTATGAATAGCAGGCCTGGTTTCCCAGATTTTTCTTAGTGTTCTATTGTTTCCAGTACTTGCCTTATATTATCTCCAATGTATCTTCCATGTAAAAAACCTGTCTGATTAGAATGAATAATGTCGGACAATACCTTTTAAATTCTATGAGCTATACATTTTGCTAGAATTTTTGCATCACAACACTGAAGTGTAAGGGGCCTCCAATTTTAAAAATGAACTGGATCTTTGTATTTTCCACTTGTATCCTGTTTCAGTAATAATGAAATCAGACCTTCTTCTTGAGTGTCTGATAATCTACCATTTACATAGGAGTGGTTAAAACATGCTAATAATGGTCCTCTGAGTATATCAAAAAAGGTTTGGTATACCTCGACTGGTATGCCATCCAACCCTGGAGTTTTCCCGGACTTTAATTGCATCCAGACGTTCCTCCTCTGTAATTTCACCATCACATGAGTCTTTCTGTATGGCTGTTAATTTGACATTATCAATAGAAAAAAATCTCTACAATTAGCTTCAGTTAGAGGAGATGGAGGCGACTGAAACGAAAACATATGCTTAAAGTACTTTGTTTCCTCCTTCAAAATATAATTTGTTGAATCATGGGTGACTCCGTCATTTGTAACCAGTTTCAGTCAATTCTTTTTGGTAGCATTCCTATGCTGTAGCATTTTCCCCCATATTCCATCCAGTTTGCTTTATTTTTATTATATATTACACTTGATCTTTCTTGAATAAGTTTCTCCATTTCTTTTGGTTTTTCCTCTAATTTATTCTGAGCCTCTATGTTACAGTTTTTATTGCTATCTATTAGTTCTGTTAGACCTTCTATTTCCTTAGTTAGTATGGACTCTTTTGACCTAAATTGCTTTTGTTGAGTACTGAATTGCATGGCCTCTAAAGGCACATTTAAAGGTGTCCCATACAATAAGGGGATTTGCTGTACCTATGTTATGTCGGAAAAAATCAGTTATAAATTCCTCTGTCCTAGTTAAAAACAAGTTATCATCCAATAGGCTTTGATTAAATTTCCAATATCCTCGCCCATGTGGAAATTCAGTAAGAGTAATGTATATGCCAATTATATGATGGTCCGACCACATTCTGTCCCCTATCAACACTTTTTTAAACTTTTGGTGCCAACGAGAATGACATAAGAAAGAAGTCAAGACGACTAGCTTGATTGAGTCCCCGCCATGTATATCTCACTAGATCAGGATATTTAAGCCTCCATATATTATTATTATTATGATTTATTTTTTTGTAATTTAGCAGACGCTCTTATCCAGAGTGACTTACAGGAGCAATTAGGGTTAAGTGCCTTGCTCAAGGGCACATCGACAGATTTTTCACCTAGTCAGCTCGGGGATTAGAACCAGCGACCTTTCGGTTACTGGCACAACGCTCTTAACCACTAAGCAACCTGCCGCCCCCATATATCTACTAGTTCTAATGTATCCATGACATTCATGATTTCCTTAAGAGCATGAGGTTGATTGTTTGTAGTGTGATTTCCTTTACGGTCCATTGAGCTATTTAAAACGGTATTATAATCTCCCACCATAATAATAGAGTCTTGAATTGCTTGCATGTCTGATAATTTATTATATATATTGTCAAAGAAGTGTGGATCATCATTACTTGGTCCGTAAAGGTTAATGAGCCATATCTGTTTATGGTCCAATAACATATTTAAAATAATCCATCTACCTAGCGTATTTGTTTGGACAATTTGCACATTCGGATCGAAATTACTGTTAATTAATATCATCACCCGTTTAGAGTTTCTTTGCCCATGGGAGAAGTATATTTCGCCCCCCCCCCCATTCCTTTTTCCACACAACTTCATCTAGAATTGTTGAATGAGTTTCCTGTAAACAATAGATATTATATTCCTTCTCTTTGAGCCATGTAAATATTGTTCTTCTTTTGTTATTATCTGCTAAGCCATTACAATTATAACTGGTTATACTTATTTCACCATATACCATAATGAGATAC